AGGCGATACACATGACGTGTAGGGAAACTCGTGTTTGTAACGAAATCCTAACAATTTCCAGGAGGAAGAACACTCTAACACGGTCCCTCGTAATTGGCGATTTGTCGAATTGAGGACCTTGCAAATGCACACAACAAACCAGTAACATTTGTGTGCCTTCTGCTGATCACAGATAGCAAAAGCATCAAGTCACGTATCATTCTGCGTAGGTGTATAGGTGTATATATCCCTTCCCCCCTTGTATCTCTCTCTTCTCATTTCCGCTCCTCTCTCTCTCACTTTCTTTTCTCTCCTTCCTCAACCTCTATAATCTCACAATTGAAGGGACATCTCCTGGTTGTCTTCATCTCCTCCACTCGCAGTCTGACGGCCGGAGGAGAGGTGAGAGGAGGTGGAGAGAGAGGGAGAAAATGGCACAAGAAAGCTCAGTACCCCACTGAGAGGGTAGGCCCATGAGGTTGAGGCTGGGCGCTTGCCTCCACCGTGGGAAGTGAACCGATAGTCTGTTGGGATGTATATAGTGGTCTCGTGACACTTCTTGGGTACACTTATCAACCTGGGGGAAGGGGGAAGAAGTGAAGGAAAGAAGGAGGGACAGAAGGAAGAGGGGGGGGGAGAGATGAAGGAGCAGGGCGAGGAAGCAAGAGATAGTAGAAAAGAAGAGAGGGGGGAAGAGAAATAGGAGGTAATGTGCAGCTGAAAGTCGAGGGGGGGGAGGAATTATACAGCTGTTAACTCAAAGAGAAAGTTGTAAGAATGATTATGTCCACCTATATACACATACGTACTTGCTTCAAGAAGTCTTTCTTTGTTGTTCCATGTCCATTGAATACACTGTCAGCATACACCAGTCGACTCCAACATACATCTGGATACAGAGATAGTACACGTAATACAGTCGACCTCCAACATACATCTGGATACAGAGATAGTACACATTATACAGTCGACCTCCAACATACATCTGGATACAGAGATAGTACACGTAATACAGTCAACCTCCAACATACATCTGGATACAGAGATAGTACACGTAATACATACGTCAGTCGACCTCCAAGACATGCAATACATACACCATAGGTGTGGGCATCTCCAGCGAAAGAGTATATATTAAACTGAAATTGATCCGTTTTCGATTCACCAGGTATATACATGTGTGTGCCGTAATAAAACTGTTCGTAGGTATGCCCACACAAACCGACAGAGCTTCATGTGTGTGTATCGTGAAATTGTTTCCTTGGCTATTGTTACACGTGTTGTGAGAGAAAACCCCCTATAGCAGTAAGTTGATACCGCATAGGTGCTCCTATTCATTTTCTAGCTGCAATGTCAACAGACATACTAGGCAATTAGAGACAACCGGTGAATATTTGTTCCATACTGAAAAGATTGTCTAGCTTTTCAGGCAGTACGTACACATAGGTGCGGGATGCATACCAATATAATATTGTGACTAAACTTCCACTGATGTGTGTGTATTCATCTGTGAGAATAAATGTGAGCAACTTGGCAAATTCTAATTTTGATGCACATTTGGGATGAATACGGCTCACTCTTTTAATACATACATAAGTACAGATTGCTTTAATTAAATGTTTCTGGTATGTGGTTGGATTTTGTCTCGGGAGCTCACCAGGAACATTCCGGGCCAGACTCCATGTCTCTCTACCAGTAGAGGTGTAGTTCTGTTTGTTCCTGACAGCGAGTGGCTGAGATCATATTTCGGCACTCGAAACTGATCTCCCATAGACTGCATACATACAGTGACAGCACAGGTTCACAACACATACAGATATATAGCACTGGTTTACATTAATCACAGGTTCAAGACACATTTAGATATATAGCACTGGTTTACATTAATCACAGGTTCACAACACATTTAGATACCGCAGGTTCGTTACACATACAAATATGTAGCACTGGTTAGGGTCCCAACAAATACGTGCAGTACCATCAAATGATATAGCACAGGTTCACAATGTACAGTATGCTACCATAATTATACAGATGGCACACTGTAACCTGTACGTTCACATACACAGGTTCACATCATCCCTAAACAGTCACAAACCTCCTAGGTGTATGGTTGAATGGTTTAGGTATAAATTATATGTAATACGATGTTAACCTGGGTGCAGGGTGAAAACCGCTGTCTGTTGAAGCTGTAGTGAAGTGCGTCCAACATAGGTTCACACAGACACGATCCCTCCACACTGAAGTAAGTATACACACATTATACGTAGTAGCACACTGCAGCAAACACACACATGTAATAACCACTGTACATTGGGGCACTTAAAGGGAGAACTTTTTTGCGATCATTTTAGTCATCCACAGGAGTAGTGTAGGAGGATCAACCATAGCTTCACTAACCGTACTTGTGCACGATGTAATGATGGGCTAATTCACAAAGGACTCTTGCACAGGAGCCGGTGGTGTCGTGTGATGTTATGAAGGATTGCATCACTTTTGTCCTCTCTACATTATGTCGCACGTAAGAACTGTCATTTCAGAATGTCATGTGACGCCACATTGTGTGTTGTGTCACAAGCTAATGTGACAATTGTCAACAAGGAACCCTAATTACACTAATTATCTGGGTCCTGTTTTGTGTATTTGCGTAACTTCAAATGTCAAAGTAAAGGTGAGAGTGTAGGCAGAACCTACGCATACTTCTACTCATAAACAGTGGGCATTGGAAAATTATCACAAACACTGGATTCACTGTAACAAAACAGTGTAATTTGTCACTAATTGAGGGGCAAATGTTTTCAACACCCTCCAAGTAATCTGAGATGGGGAGGACAGAGAGTCAAAATATCGCGGTTCAGTGATCAAATCATCACGCTTTCAGCATGTAGACTGTGGTATTTCGTGTAAGGTGCAGCAATTGGACTGCTGCGCATAGCATTAGAGTGGCATTTGTAGTCGATGTGTGTAGGTATAGACAGGGGTCTGCGGTTCAGGAATGCCTCCATTCCTGCTGACTTGTCAGGTATGAAATTGGACAGGGTGTGGAATGACTAACATATAATATGCCAGACTGTTCCGTGCATTAGCACAGACAAAAGTGTGCAGGACACACACATACCCACACGCGCACACACACACATCATACGAAAATTAATTAACCATAACAGAAAGTGAGGGGACATCGCTAGTATGACATAACTGGTATATACCATCTGTTCATGGTTCTATGACTGGGATCCTACACCATCGGAGCGTCTGTGTAGGAATTATGGTGTGCACAAAATCTCACATACATGCAAATGCGGGTGAAGATATAAGCTTTCCTAACACAAGAACAATCACTCACGTGTACTTCTCACTCTTACGTTACAATGAATGACATCACTTGTTAAAATAGTAGGACAGGATAAATTTCCCTGTTCTCCATAGTACCCTCTACTTATAGGCAAACGGCCAAAAAAGGTGGTTCATTATGTGATAATTTAGTCAGCACAACAGCAGAGCTCAGTTTTTTAAAGCTAAGATGGCAGAAGCAACAGAAAGTCTCGAATTGTCTGGTCTAAGAAGAGCGCGCACAATAAGCATTGAAAGTATTCGGATTTACCACTGGAGGACGCTACTCGACAAAAACTCGACGGGAGCAGGAACTCAATGTCGTAATTGTGGGATGCTATCAGGTGGGAAAGTCAACTCTCATCAATTCCCTGTTCTTTGAAAAGGGCAAAAAGTACAGAGAGCGGGCACAGGAAGGCTCAATGAGTCCTTGCACTCAAGATGTGAATCCACATGTCCTGCAGTTCAGCGGCATTTCCTGCAACATTTACGATTCGCCAGGCCTGCAAGACGGATGTGAAGCTGGAGACTTGGCCTACCTGCGCCAGATCAAAGCCAAGTGCCCCAAAATCCACCTCGTCATCTACTGCACAAAGATGGGAGAGCCTGTGAGACCGGCCGAAACCACGGCACTCAACAATCTCACCTCGACATTTGGAAACACAATTTGGGAGAATACAGTGATTGCTCTCACGTTTGCCAACAATGTACAACCGGTTGATCCAGACACAGATGAAGACGAATACTTTGAAAGAGTAAAGAACGACAAGGAAAAGGATTTGTGCAGTGCTTTTGAAAGGCTTTCCATTAGAGAAGCAATCGTTGACAGCTTGCTCCAACACATTTACCCCACTGGGTCAGCCAGAGTGCTCAAGCTCCCTGGCATTAGGAACGATTGGAGGGTTGACTTTTGGATGGGGTGTCTGGATGCCTGTCGACCGGAAGGCAAAGGGGCCTTGCTAACCCTGGCCTGGAGAAACCGACAGTTTGTTCTAAGGGTTCTACAGGCCTCTGTCGGTACTACAAGTGGAGGATTGGCACTGGTTGGGGGGTTGGGGTGTGTCGTAGCTGGAGCTGCTCTAAGTGCGTCGGGATTTCTCGCTCCGGTTGGTGTGCCTCTTATTGCTGCTGGGGCAGTGGCCAGTATTCTTGGGGCTGGGGCCACTTTCGGCAGCAGCTCTGCTATCAAGAGTGCCAAGAAAGAGTATAAAAGGATGAAAGAGTGAACTTGGACACCTTCTTACATGTTGTGCTTTGTGTGATCGTGTGATATATGATTTCCTCCTTTCACTATAAGAACATCTGTAGTAGTTGTGTATAGCTAAATACCACAAGACAAGCAACAAAATGTTGGGTCGGGGGTCTAATCAACTCTCACTACTGACAGCAGCTCAGGTAAGGTCCCTACCTACAACAACACACCCGTATAACTAACAATGATAGTGGACTGAATTTTCAATATCTAGACTTTTCTATCTTTCTCCGGCCCTCTTCCCACACACACATCCATTCCCTCCTTTCTTATAAATTTCTTGCTTGCAAGTGAGTGGAAGGGTGTACTACCCGAAACTAACATTGACTTTCCATGCAGCTACTGCACTCTTCTACTCTACAACAATATATAATTTGCGCAAACAACTAGCTACTCTCTTAATCTGGTTACTCCCTTTTACAAACCGACTTATGGTGTTTCCTGAAAATGCCATCGTGCATTCCTGCATCTACTCCCTTAATAGAGATGTTTTCCTACTGGGACTCAACCTGATACCCACTCCAGTTTACATTTCTAAGTTGAACCTATGACGTGTACTTTCAGTGTTATAGAGAGTGTAAACATGCAAGTCCGCTGGTCAATGCTCTTTAAGCTAGGTTGGCAGGCAAAGTCCAAACCTCAGTTTGTATGTTTCATTTCATGCAGCAAACAACTACCACTTTTATCAGCCTGCATAGGCTATATAATTATTACTCATCACCAAAAGTAGTACAATTATACTGGTCTACCATACACTTCTCCAACATGTGACCCCCCTATCCTCAATAGTTGATTGCAGTGCGTGCATAACCAGAATACTTATGTCACTTTCGTTAATGGATTAGTTTTGATCCAGACCAATCATGTACTAATTGGCTGAGGAATTTTGAAGTGTGCATAGGGAATTGTGAGGAATATGTTTTCCGTTGTAAGACAGCCTTTTTTCCTCTTGTGGATAGATACACCATCAGAGTCAAGAGCAAAGGGCACACAGATTGAAGACAGATACACGGACCTATTATGCTTTCACATTTGCATTGCCATTTGCGCCAAAACAGAAAATAGGCCTCGCCAAAAACATTCACTTTGTAAAGGTTGGCACACTGGCATATACCATTCCTACTCCTTTCTAGGTTCCTCTAAGTTATGCTCCTGTCATTTTAAAGTAGTCCGTTGCTTCTCTACATATATAGCAACAAAAGTTTTCAATGTTGTGCTTGCAAAACGAAAGTTTTTTGGGAGACATCCTGTTTGCCCACAATAAGTCAACAAAAGAACATTCTGACAGTTTTTACAGCTTCAAAACAACTATAGTGTAAAGACATGTCCACTATCAAACGAAATCTCAGTGATGTCGTTTTCCTTCATGAATTTCTTCCAAGACTTTTTGCCCTGCCCCATTAACGGCTCACTAGTTTTGCGTGTTAGAGTGGCACAGAGGCAATCAGCCTCAGCGTCCGATGACGGCATGCTATCGACAACCGTCTTGACGGAGGGAATTGAAAAGAAACTAGACATCGAGTCCCACACTGAGTGAATGTAGGAGAGAGATCTCTCAGAGACCTTGTGTGGGTGCAGCTTCATTTCGATCTCGTGCACGGTCAAATCGAGGGGCTCATTTTCGCGGGACATTTTTGTTAGGTCGGTCCTGGAAATTGTCTCAGTAAGCTTTCGTGTGGCATAGTAGGCCTTGACTGCTTCCTGATAGTCGCAGCATATTGCTTCGGATTCCTCTCCAATGAAATGACCCAAAACTTCCAGCAAAGGTGAGAAGTTAACACAGTCCCATTTCTTCTCGTGGCTAATGAGGTTGAAAACCTGGCGGTAGCTAGTGGCAATCAAGACGGCTGAATCAAGTTCAAAAAAGGTAATGACGTAAGACTTGAAGTCTTCGAAGCATTTTTCTTCCTTCTTCTCCAGGAATCGGATGGCGAAGGTGATGAGGGCAGAGAACTTTCCTTTGAGTTTGGACTCACTACTTTCTTTCAGCTGCAAGACAACCACCTCTGCTGGGTCTTCTGTATGTAGATACCAAACATGAGTAATAAACACTTTTTGTAACCTCATTATTTATGCAGACCACTACAGTGGCATACCATGTGCAACATGTTAATTGCTTAGATACTACATTAAATGCATATCTGAGTGAAATGGGGATTGTGGGATGTTGTACTTGCGGCAGATTCTGTCAGCTACCCTGTTTTCCTTCATGGCACGTAAAGCTTTCACAATGTCTGTCCACCCAAAGTCAGTTGTTCTAGCTTTCTTCGTAGCTATCACTTCCAGCAGCCAGTCCATAGGTGAGGAATTATTTTGCTTTATCGCCTCTAGCTCATTACGCTGGAGTCCAAACTGAGTTCCAAGCTGTCTCCACTTGTTGGCAATTCCACAGAGCATATTCATCACCTCTTTTTCCTTCAGTTCACCTATGATATGCATTGGACAACACAAAATGCTGTTTCAAGCCATGTATGGAAGTGCCTCAGATATGAATTACGATATATACAAAATGCTGTTTTGGCTGTTTATATGAATACAGAAATGTCTCAGTGCATGCTGGTAATTCAACTCACCATAATCCACCGCATCCTCTGATGTAAGGGCTTCTCTGCCTTCAGGGTGAAACCGTTTTTGTTTAAATAGCGACTTTCTCCTGGCAAGGTTTGCTGCTTCTGTAGGATTTTCTGGATTATTTTGTGCATACTTCTGTTTTTCATGGGCAGATTTAACTGCATCGGCTTTCTTATTCACGCTCTTTTCCTTTTCAAGGAGCTCAGCCTCTAATGCACCGACTTTCTGCTGCAGTATCATTTCCTTCTCCTTAAAAGCTCTTTGTGCATTCAAAGTTTCTCTGTCCTTCGTTTCTGTAAGTCTTCTAAGTTCTTGGTCCAATTCTTCCCTTAGCTTGCCTTCAAATTCTAAAGTTTTTCTCTGCCTCAGGCTGTGTAATTCTTGTGAAACTGTCTTTAGTTTTGTCTGAAGAGTTTCCAGCTCCTTCTCCCTGTGTTCCATAGCTTGTTTTCTCTCACATAATTCCTTTTCCAATGCAGCTAACTGCTGTAGCTGGCTGTCTGGGCTGTGAAATTTTGCTTCTTCGAAATCAGTTTTATCCTGCTGTGCCTTGTGTTGTGCCTTGTGGAGCTCCGTAATCTCCGTGTCCTTGTCGTTAAGAATCTTCTGCAGTTCATGAACTCTTTCTCTTTTTGAATAAGCTCAGCCTCTAGACTTTCACAAACAGTGACTTTCTCTCGTATTTCTCTTTCTTTCTCACCAATCAACTTTCGGGCATCCAGGATTTGCCTTTCAATTAGCCCAGTCAGTCTAGTCTGTTCTCTGGTTAGTTCTTCAATTGCTCTCTCTGCATTGTCAATTTCTCGATTCTTTCTCCCAATTAACTGCCGTTCGCTGTGCAGCTGTTGTGAAACAGATTTGAACTGTGTTTGAAGATCATGCAGCTCAGTGTTCTTGTCTTCAATGGTGTCTCTTCCTTGCCGTAGTTCCATCTCCATTCACGTTTATATTTCACAAAATGAGGTTTGTTTTTAAGTTACCTGGTTACTGGGATGTACGCGAAGAGCTTGCATCATTTCAAGTTTGTTCATGTCAATGAGTTCATCTCCCACTTCAGCTCTGACCTGTTCCAACAGGTGCAGGACTTGTTGAACGTTGGGTTGTCTACGAGGAAAATCAAGACAGCTCTCTACCAGTTGGAGGAAAAGATGATTTCAAGGCAGTTGTCTTATGTATCCCTCTCGTCGTTGTAGTTCAGTTCGAGCTCTCAGTTCACCATATTCGCTGGCGTAAGTAGAAGGTAACAAATGACAAGGAAAGGTTTGAGTGAGTGCGAAGAGAGACACAACACCAAAAGAGAAGATATCAATGCCCGTATCATACAGGGCTTGTCGCTGATCTCTTTCCCTCTCACCTACTTTGTGGGAAGAGGCCTCTGGAGGCATATACACCAAATTTCCGGGAGCTCTGGTCATTGTGGCTGCAATCATTCCACTTGGCAAGATGCGAGCGGTACCCAGGTCCGCTATCTTTGCAACCATGCCCGAGTTGAGGAGAACATTTCTAGCGGTCAGGTCACGGTGAATGATGGGTGGTGATTGCTCGTGTAAGTAGGCCAAGCCACTGGCGACGTTGTGAAGTATGAAACATTTTAGACTCATTGGGATGAATGGATTTGGCCTGCGTGACTCCAGCAGGTCATGGAGGCTCATTAGGAGGCGCTCCCATCAAAATTACAGGCATCTGGGAGTCGGGCAGTGTACAAAGGCTAAGAAATTGAACCATGTTCGGGTGTCGGAGGGTGCTCATCAGGCGACATTCTCTAACGAAATGGTTCATCGCTTCATCGCCGCCAATACCGACAGCGAGAACGTGGTGCGTACGTTTTGCGGCGCAGATGGCTCCAGGTATCGCAACTTCCTCCACGCTGCCGTAGGACCCAGCTCCGATTGTTCTGCCCGTCGGATGGACGTCCGTTACCATGAACGTCATCAGTTCTGGGTAGTTCCGAAGACCTTCCATTGTTTGAAGTAACCACAACCTCCACACGACCAACTGCGTGGCTTACACATGTAGCTACTGCCCCAAGCGAGCGAATCTCTACGCATGCGCAGTTTGCGTGCCAGGGGAGCCTTTGTGATGTGACTGCGCATACAGATCAATTTGCGGATTGCGAACAGGTGAAGTGTAGTTGGAGGCACTGCAGCCTAATGGAGGATGATTATGAAGTAAGAAATTTATCGCAGTTGTCACTTGAGGATGCGGCCCGTGTTGAGGAGCAGCTTTGGTGCAGTACGAACTGAACGTCTTGGTTACGGGGCGTTTTCAAGTTTGGCAAGTCGTCGCTCATAAACGCGATGTTCTTCAAAGAAGGGGAAGACTACAGGCAACGCATGGAAGAAGGCTCCCAAATGACACGATGTGTATTCCATTTCCATCTGTCACACCCATGTAGTGTACGACGCATACGCGCACAACACAGAGGCGCTCCTCTCTGGAACTAGCGCGCGGAGGCCAGCCCCTAGGCTGCTGAAAATATTTTAGTAACAAGGCTATTTTGGCTCTGTCAACTACTGGCTTCTTCAAATGTGGCATCACAAATGAAAAAGCACTAAAGCAAACCCTCGGTGAACTGCGCATGCGCCATACCGCTAATTGATGGGCTGGCCAGTATGCGTTTCTTCCGCTAGTAGCTCGCGGAGAGTCTGGCACGGGCTAGATACAGTAGTTTATAGCGTGCGGGAGTCGGCGATATATGCCCTTCGTTGTGACTTATTGTGCCTTAAAGATACACAGAGCGAGCGGACCTGGTCAGGGTCGCAGTCGTGGTCAGCCGTGCCCATTTCGTATAAGTATACGCATGCGCACAGCTAATTGATGGGTTGGGCCACGCAACCCGGTCCGCGACCGTGCCAGGCTCTCGCTCTCGAACGCAGTCGTTTCAAGAAAATCGCGTAGTTCTGAAAGACGTTGGCATCGCTCATGGGCCGCCTCGTAGCCTGACAGACAGACAGACAGACACGTACCGTAACGCGAATGCGTGCATAGAGTAAGTATCTACACATGCTAGTAGTTGCCACATACCCACTCTCATTAAAAAAAATGCTGGCACCACATTCTATCGGCAACTATATAACCATAAAATAGATGAGTGCCTACACATGCATTCTTTTAGCAATAAGTATTCTATCGCAAACTAACCATAAAATAGACTGGTCACTATACATTTTTCAAAATCACCACCACACATTAGCTGTACAATGGTGGAAGCGATCTAGCTTTGCAACGGAGTGTTTTCAGAGAAAACCGTTCGAAATTTCTGACCTTCATTGCCCGTTAAGTAGGTGGTATCCTTCGTGAGACGAACGAACACTCGAGAAGTGAGATGGAGAGTAACACACACACAGACCCCTCCCACTAGTGGACGTGGATATTTTTTTGCACACTCTATAATACAGAAAGTAGCTACATTTCAACACATTCCTCAGCTTGTATATACACAGAGTATAGTATTGAGGAGTATGTACAGTGTGCTCATGTTTGGAATTTCAGAAAATACTAACCATACCCTTCACAGACCAGCACTCTTATCTCACACAATAAGCAATAAATTTTTCGCGAGCTAACACCCGAGTTCATGAGCATTTACACGATTGCAAAACTTAGCAATTCCGTCTTGTCTGTTTTGAGTTTATTATGATTTGCTATGCTCGTCAATTATAATAACAAGCACAGTGCCAACCCCCTGGCAGGGATGTTTTAAGTTGACACTTTAGGGACCTCAAAATAATGTGCTCTGGGTGTGGCTACATATAGTATAGTACTATGAACTTCTTAGGATTCAGCATCAGGTGCTGGCTCATAGACCTTACGACTTATCTAGGTGATATCATATGGTTTCTTTATTGCGCTCCAACGTCTGTTATTAATGTAGGGGTAAATTATTACAGAACCATACATACAAAAACATTGTGTGAATGCCACCTCTGGCACCCCCCTCAGTGGAGAAGTGTACCTAATACAATCCCTTAAAAACTGTATATAGTTTTTCTCATTTATTCTTTTTATCATCTTGCTTTGTCTCTTCCTCGTCTGCTTTTCTTCCTCCCCCAGTAACCAAAGCATACCCAGCAGTAGCAGCAGTAGCAGCAGAAGCAGCGCCTAAAGTGGCAACCCCTACTACAGCTTTCCCAACCAGAACTTTTCCAGCTATCACTAGTCCCACAGATCCAATGCTAGCTGCACCACCAGCTAATACAACTGCACCATAAATTGCACCCTTGGCATATGGCGTTAATTTCCAGAAGAAGTTTAGGAATTTACCTCTATCTCCTGGCTTACAGGCATCGACACAGCCTTGCCAGAACTCGACTTGCCAGTCTTCTATTCCAGGAAGTCTCAACTTCTTTGAAGATCCCACAGGGTAAATACGTTTAGCTATAAACCTATCAAAATCTTTCACATGGTTTAAATCATTGAAGCAGTCGCGTAAACGTGAAGTTTTCTTCTTAACCTTTTGTTGAAAATGAGCGACATCACTATCGTCATCATAAGAACGATTTGCAAATGTCAGAGCGATCATAAAACATTCCCAAACCGAATCTCCGACAGCAGAAGAGAGATTTTTAAGTGCTGTTATTTCATCTGGTCTAACTGGTTCATCCATTTTTGTGCAGTATATAATAAGATTATACTTACGACAGGCTTTCCCCATCATAGTAATGTAGCTCCTGTCATCATTGCTTGCTCCTACGTCATCTTGAAGCCCCGGTGTATCATATACATTGAATTTGATGTCATTGACATTAAAGCTGTATGGATGGACAACACTTGTGCAGGGTTTAAAATCCCCTGACCCCACTTTCGCCTTCATTTCTGAATTCTGGAGGAACGTAGCATTAATAAGTTCGGACTTGCCCACACAAAAACGGCCAATGACTAGTATATTGAACTCGCTGGCAGTGTCGGCTAGAAATTTCCCACGGTCGGCATCTTCTAGGGAGAGCTTTCTGACTCCATTCGACGCCATGATTTACTGGGCGGTGCCGTTGTCCTCGCGCGCGCGGGCGACGCATAATAATATAGAGAGCGCATACGCATGCGCGCTGATAACGTGACAAAACATGCCTATGGCGCGCCGTTTGAACGGGGTGACGGATCGTTTTCGCGTCGACGATTCTCCTTTCGTGGACGAACGACGAATTTCTACGGCAACGATTGTTTGCCCTAAGACTACAAACATACTTCGAATAATTTATGGAAGATTTATTAAATTTTGTAATTCTGGCCTTATGTCAAATTCGTCATTTGTCTCGCGTATATTTCATGACTCATGTTTTTTAGCTTATACCTTCGTTGGACATAATTTCATGTTTGGTCATTTACTCTTACAAAATGAAACATAATTATACTGATCATGTTACAAATGTTGCCCAAATTATTCGTTCTATCCGTTATGTTTTTGGTCCTGTATCGCCATTTGAAGAGCTTCTTTTTAAATTATCATGTTCTTAACTCCTTATTTCATCATCTCTTCTTTCTTTTTTGTGCCTTATTATTGGCATGTGATAATAATAATAATAATTATCAAGCGACAGAATTCTTGGCTTGAGGCGGCGACCAGGTAAGCCGAACACTGCGACGATTCGGGTGAATGGTCAACTTTCCTAGAGTGCTAATTGATGGGCTGGGCTATTTGTATGCGTTTACTCGTGGTCTCCCGCTAGTTACAGTAGTACATAGCATGCGGGAGTCGGTACATGCCATTCGTTGTGACTTCCTGAGCCCCCAAGGTATATACACAAGAGCGAGCGGATCAGGTCGCGGTCATCCCAGTGCTAATATGCAATTGGCTTTTTCGCTTGTTTCACGGCATATCTCTAGAACGCAGTCGTTTCAGGAAAATCGCCCTTTTCTTTTTCACGCTCGCGGTATCGCTAATAGGCCGCCTCGTACCCTGTAGTGCCAGAATAAGCGTCGACACACACACAGACAGACACACAACTACTGTAACCCCTCGCTGCGCATGCGCACCGAGGGTTGTCTTAGCCGTAGAAGTTCGTCGCAATCGTCGCCCATTATCTCACTTTGTCCACTTATCTATAATACATGGAATTCTACATTAGACTCAATATCCATGTACGTGCAGCTAGTAAGAATACTCAAATTGATCCACTCACCAGTCTCCTGATGGTGGTGAGGTACGCAGGAGAGGAGATCTCCAAACTTGACAAACTCAGTCACCAGACAGATTGGCTCCTGAAGAGTCACGCAGCCTATAAACGATTCGTCGCCACGATTACTGAGGTTTACGGCAAATCGTTTTGACACAAACAGCGCGCCATACATTCCTGGAAATTCACCACGAAAGAAGAATCGTCGCTACGAAGGGAGAATCATCGCCCCGAAAATCGATTCGTCGCCACGATTACTACAGAGGTTTACGAGGGGGGAAATCGACGTGGGTGATCCCTATTGAACGACAAAACCCCGGCGTAACATCATCCTGTTGTACGCACGCTCTGGTAAGCGTTTGTGTAACGTTTTCTCAAGTTTCTGTAAACGTTTGGCTATACGCGAAAGTGTTCGTAAACGATAAGCGACATAGTGTAACTCGTGGCAATGCCAGAGGAGACGATGATCGTCTCTCCCTCAAAAGTGGAGAAGGCGCTTCTATGTTCTATTCCATTGTCCCAAGGACTGCAGTGAGGACATTTCCGAAAAGTCAATGCACGCTTCAACGGATAATCATGAAAAGAAGGCGGGGCCGAACTGGCTAAAACGAACGCTATCAACGAACACTTCAAACGTTTAGTAAACGTTTACACAAACCAGCTTTTCGTAAAAACAGGATGATGTTTTACGTCTTTCATAGATCCCCAGTCCCAGGGCACATGAAGCCGGGCATTTGACTAGTGTGTGAGATGCGTAGAAAAGGTCATTGCATGAATATTTTCCCAATCATACATACATCCGGTGGGATCTGCAAGAAAGTTGATCCTTCCTTTTAGGGCAAAACTGGCAGGCTGAATTCTGGAAGGGCTGTCTGGATGCCTGTAAACCAGAAGAGGCCATTTGGAAGAACGTCATCGTTGCTCTGACATTTGCAAATCAAGTGGACCCAACCAGTCCCAGGGCAGACGAAGCCGAGCATTTCACTAGTGTGTTAGATGCAAAGAAAAGATCAATGCGTGAATCTTTCAAAAGAGCTGGGCTTGAGGAAGTTTTTGATCAGTTATCCCAATCATACATACATCCGGTCGGATCTGCAACGAAGTTCAACCTTCCTTCTGGGCAAAACTGGCAGGCTGAATTCTGGAAGGGCTGTCTGGATGCCTGTAAACCAGAAGGCAAAGGTGCGCTACTCAAGCTCGCCTGGAGAAACCCACACTTTCTCAAGCTTGTCGGGGCGTCGGTTGGCACACTAGTGGAGTGGTGGCTATAGTTGCTGGTGCAGGAGCTGCAGTGGCTGGTGGAGTGATGACTGCCACTGGGTTCCTTGCTCCTGTCGGAGTCCCACTGATAGCTGTTGCTGTTATAGCTGCACTTCTTGGTGTGGGGGGTATATACCTTGGGCGGTGCTGCTGGCATTAAGGCTGCAAAAAAGGAAAGGAAAAAAAGGACAATGAAAAGAAATGAACATTGAACATTAAAGACCTGCGTGTATGTGTGGAGATTATCACAAGCAATTTTAAGCACACTTGTTATTATAATACCCTTAAAATGGACCTTCTGAACAAGGACACTCTATATAATTATATATACATGACGACGCTTGGTTCTGCCCCCTGTATACTATTATAGAAACAGCTCCCAAATAATAATGTCACGAAGTCTCCTTTATTATTGGAGATTTTACTGCACATCATGACATAACTCTTAGAATACCTATACAAGCTAGTAACAGCTGTTAGCTCCACATAATACAGCCTCCCCACAGGGAATTGATAAGTGCATCAAAACTTTCACTAGATAACGGCTCAGTATGAAAACATGAGACTATTGTCAAACCACACAACACCACCTCACAGATTCTTGTGAAACGATATTACACGTACGCACTATGATACCTATTTTGTTCTAAGTCTGGCTAGAGTGCATAAAGATTAGTTTGGTTCATGCCTTGCTTGTAATAAATAGCTAATAGGTTTTACCACTAAACATGACCACTGAGACAACCACTGAGACTATTATATTCACATTGAATTTCTGTTCAAAATCTATATAGTACTGTAAGTCAGAGTGACACAGCTAAAGAGTTTCAAGTTTTTCAGTTCTTTAGGTTCTTTCATTCCCGTCCTTGTGTTGGCAGCTCTTCTGTGCCCTCAGTCTCACCATCTGTGTATATACAATATTAGCAGCAATGACACAAAATCCCATTCAACTTGATCCGTGCATAGATAAAATCCATGTAGGTAACTACTCTTCAAGATCAGCAATAAGCTTCTCATTATGGTGAAAGGCTACGTCACACTGAACAATTGCCCTTGTCTTCAGTGGAGGGCTATACTCTCAAAGCCTCACAATGTAAGATGATTAATTTTTCTTACCACCACTGATTGATTCAGTGTCAGTTTCTACGATTGTTCCACTGGAGACTGGGAGATAGTACTTGGTCACAATTTGATCTGTTTCAAGGAAAGAGCATCAACACGATGACACTATAATAAGGATATATTATAGCCACGTAATTCACCTGGTTCATAGTAGTCATACACAGTCACTGGTAGCTGCTGATGATCCTCAACTGCAAACTCCTCTTCAAACAGTATCACAATTGTAATGGGGCCCTCGATCTAATACATTACAGTATCAAAATTGTGTGTAACTAGGATGTAATACAGGTAGGTAGTGTGCGTGAAATAACTTTCTAAATGGATTTTCATACCCCATTGATGTAGAAGACAGCATTTGATCCCCTGACGTCTACTCTCTCAATAGCTTTATTCTCCCTGTGCTGTATGTATCGGTAGCCAGACGGGATCTCCACGTCCACTATCGCCATGTTTGACGAACCCTCTCCAGTGTATCTGGTGAGATATTAGTTGCAGAAGCATGATATTGAGCTCTTGCTAGTGTGACAGTGTTAATAAATCAGCCCCAAAGCACTAGACCTTTAAGTACTCCTGGTGTGTGTAAATGTCTGCGTATTGCTGCTATACCTGACTGTAGCTGAGAGAAGCAACTGTGTGTCACTGACTCTAGTGGCAAGGTTGAGAGCAAATGTCTGAACATTATCACAGCAACTGCAGCCATGATACTCCAGAGTGCTCTGTACATTATGGCAGCAGAGGGTTAGGGTCAATAGATATGAGCATGCTTCAGCTATACCTGGATGATGGCTGTTCCTTCTCCAGAATAGCTTACACAGTTGCCAGTACTCGGAACACTCTCAACCTGTGGTACGAATAGCGCATAGTACATGTTTGCTTGACAATAATGCATTGCGTTCCTAGTATACCAAGGCAGCAGCTATGGGGCTAAGGCTGACCACATGGTATTTTCTATATACATGACACAGTGATAATGGTTCAACAGAAAGGTTGTGCATCATCTGCTGATAGCCTGAAGCAAACTGACCTGGAAGTCTCTCCTCTGGTAGCGGTTCTCTGGGGTGACAGTGTGTGTGACTGCCGAGTCGCCAATGGTGACTGTCACAGACTTGTTGAGGTTTTTGGTGAAAGTTTCCTCAGAAAACCTCCTCAGAGCATCCAGGGCCACTAGAGTATCCTGTAATAGGGTATAATGTGTAGCAAACCATGAGTACAGTTAGCTGCTATAAAAGTGGGGATAGGACCACCCATTTCCGCTTGTTGCAACTGAGTAATTCCAGAATGATGGATTGAATCATTGTACTATATTTCACCATAAAGCACTATGATGGAGGCTACAGCCCCAGAGAAATGAAATACTAGGCTAAGCATATACCTTGCTTCACTTAGCACGAAGTCCATAATACGCAAATAAATGACTATGTATGGCATTTAGGCATCACAGAAGCTATGCCCCTGAAGGTCTGTTTGCTGTAACTGACCTGAGAGCTGTAGAAGCCTCCACTGCCACTCTTGATCTGGACGAGCCACTGAGCCAGGCAGACAGTCTTCTCTCTGTCTCCCACGGCCAGCAGCGCCCTCAGGGCATAGGCCGTTGTCTCCACACACGAGGAGGAGCCTTCGCCGCGAGGTCGGCTGGGGCAGGAGGCTGGGTCTGCCGAGTCAGAGTCTTCATCACTGGGACAGTCATTGCACAGGAAACATGCTCCTGGGTCTGAGGGAGAGAGATAGGCATACAATTGGCATAGGGGGGAAATGGATCTTCAAGAACTGAGCTAGAAAAAGCTTTGAAGTAGAAGTGAAGGACTGGCCTGAGTTACACATAGTAAGAGAGTTTCTATTAAAAAAGGGATGGAAGAATGAGGGGAAAAGAAAAGAGCTTCTGTTAGGAAAGGGGAAAATAAAGGAAAACATAATAGAAAATAGATGTTAAAAGAAGGGCTACAAGTGTGTTCAGACTCATGTTCTTCATTGAGGCTTGAACTCACAGTTTTTGCTGTCACTGATCCTGCTCTTGAGGGTGTCCACCATGGCAGTCACGTTGCTCCTGTAGTCAGGGTTGCTGCCCAGAGCCATGGCCGTGGTGGTGAGGGCCAGACCATAGTTGCAGAACTGGAACTCTTCGTCACTGAACTGCCTCACGAGGTATCTTTCAGCTCTTCGGATTGATGTCTAAACAGATAGTACGTGAGAGTAGTTATAGTTTCCAGAGGCTAAGAACACTTGTCATTGCATAATGATAAAAGCACAAAGTGCAGGACGCGTACTGTTAGCAGCAATACTCATTTACATTCATGAGAGGCTATTTTTTACTACTATACATGCATTACAGATTCACTATCTGAGGTATACACATACCCTCAAGTTTGATTGAGTAGAGTATTGAGCAGCTTCTCTGAGAGTGATGAGAACATAGGCAGTCAGACCAACAAAGTTGTCTCTTCGCTGTTAAAAAAAAAAAACAGATACATAACAATCTTGCAAGGTTGTAATAATAGGATCTCCGAGTACCGAATAGATGTCTAGTGATGTGCAAACAAGGTATCACATACAATATTATTATACTAGAAGGTAAGATTTGTGTAGAAGGCAAATCACATGTAACTAACTCCCCCGGGAATGTAGCCATCCTTCATGGCTTCTCTCTGTTGGATCTGAAATGTAGGAGGTTAAGGTATACTTAGCCTAAAGTTACGCAGAATTATTAACCAATCGGCGCACATGTGCAGTGAGGGTTACAGTAGTTGGATTGTCTGTCTGTGTGTCAACGCTTATTCTGGCACTACAGGCTACGAGGCAGCCTATTAGCGAGCATACCAGGAGATAGTAGTTGTGAAGACGGCCGAGGACAGGGAACCTTCCGCTCCTCTCCTGGTTGCTGATCAGGTAGTTTATGGCTCCAGATATCACCTGAGGATCCACCAGCTCACTGCCTTCAGCCAGACCCAGAGATGTTGCCACAGCTGGTATCACAACAATAAAATTGAGGAACAGAAAAAACACATCACAAACATGTATATAGGCCAACAGGCTGTGCATGCTAATCCAAACAACATCATAAGAGTAGAGGTGGTTTGAAACCTCTTTGTGCCTAGTTATGGACACACTTTACCCAGACATCAAAATACATGAAGACTCTTGCAATAAGTAGCTACGTACCTGGATTTGAAGCCTCAGTCAGGAACCTAGCTGTGAATGCGGTCAGCCACAGACTGCATTCACCATGACTCCAGATACTGAAACATCCCCTGCCCTGCAAGTAGGTCAACTGGCGCTGGTACCCTGTGCAAATCAGTGTAGGAGCAACAGTAAGTAGAAACCTCAGTGTTAGACATCACACACTGCTTTACATACAGCACTAGTATCGAAAAACAACAGTCAATTCAACTGTGCCATTAGGCGTTGCCTAAACGTTAGCTCGGACGCAACTTAGCATGCAATATGATGCACCTTTAAGACTTGGCACCTCAGGAGTACACAAAAACTCCTTACTGTGCAGTATAACCTACTACCAGTCCATAGCATAGCCTACCAGTCTGAAGGTTGTTCCTGATCTTGACGGAGAGGACTTCAGGGAGCTGGTCGGTGGCCATGAGGTAGAGCCCCGTGACGACATTGAGGGAGAACCGGACCATGTTCTGCTCACCACAGCCATAAGGCAGCACCAACAGACGGTCAGGTCAGGAGGTGACATCAGGTCACCTGTACCATTACATAGAAAAAGTGTACATAATATTATTATACTCTCTTCTCAGACATCATAATAATGCATTCTCTTAAAGTCACAGGTATCGTAATGTCTGAAGCCATTATGTCCATGTCAGGCTGTCTCTTGTACAATGGGGAATTCCGACATGATTTAAACCTGTTTCTATGCCGGATCGAATCGCCTTTAAAAAGCAGCAAGCAACCTGAAAGGCAACTAAGGCTACAGACGTTCTCACCAGTGACAGAGATGGTGGCCTTGCTAGAGCCGGGAATGACACAAGTTGGCAGCTCATAGTTGAAGCAGTGCTCACCACCTGTGGACAGACAAAGACGTGTAACTCATGAAGGGGTATGTATCACACACACACTGATTCACACATGAACTGTTTTGCCTATGTACCAGCTAAACACACTGAACTTTAATTTTAGTTCCCTAATAATACTGCCGACCGATGTGAGAAATTGGTACAACAAACTGCGTAAATTTACTGCAAAAAGGGTGGTACCTAATACTTAAGCTACAGTAGCTGCTATGTCCAAGTGGCATACTGCTGTTAGAGGCATAGACGTTGGTGGTGATCTGGAACCTCTCGCAGCCAGGCTTAATGAACAGGGTCTTCCTCACTGCATCGATGCAGGGCCCATTACCCCCGGGTGCCGAGCTTCTGATGCAGATGGTGATGGGAAGAAGACCAATAGCTCTGTAGGTTGAGAGATGCATACTTATTTCAGTGGTAGCTCATGAGAAGGACTTTGTGAAAATCAATACGCCAAATGCTCAAAACTGCAGAAACCCCCAGGTCAACACTACTCTTCTGAAGCTTTCCAGAGTAGTTACAGATTGACCCTTGAGTCATAGGCTCTACTGTATATACTCAGGGCACCAATGTATATGATGTTCTGGATGCAACAATCTGAATCCTCAGGCCAGACAATGTCCAACTGAAACTTTGTCGAGTCATAGGTTGTTCTGCTCAGGCAGGTATATTATACCAATGTATGTACATACTATTCGCAGCATGTGTCACTTACCGTGGCTTGAGCTTGATGTTGAAGGGGGTGCCAGTTCCTTTGGAGACTCTGACAAGGCCGTTCTCAGGCACCTGTCTCTCCAGCAGCTCCAGATCATCATCCACTTCTATACTCACACGTACCTACGCACAAGGTAAATAGACAGGGGGGGATTTTCGGTTACGTACTTCAGGAGAGATTCAAGCCAAAGAGAAACAACATGTGATACCACAGAGCTCGAAGCCAATTGGAAGGCAAGGATGAGTTTGTACAATCATGCTGGCTAAATGAACACTGCTAAAGAAACCATCTGTTTTCCTGAGAAATTATTGCTGTAAGCTACACCTACTTGGGTGTTCTTGATTAGCGCATAGCCTTAGCATGATTTTCAGTAACTAGTAACCAGAGATTAACATGAATCCCAAGCAAGTTGCAAAACACATGGTCTTTATGAGGCTTTTTATATCCCGATGCTTACATCGATATCCTGACGTCGGCCAAAGTTGAATATTATGGGGGTGACAGTGACTGTCTCCTGGAATATGATGCTGTACGGGAGTTCGAGGGAGACAAACACGTCTTTCTTGGCCACCAGTGCCGTCAGCGGAGAGATGCCCAGCCCCGTCTGGCCGCTGATGGCAAAAGCCTCGGCGTTCCAGGTGGTGATGGTGTCCGGTACCTCTGAGTTGTGCACTGCTATTCCTGACGCACTGATGGCGCATGGGAGGAGGAAAATAGAGGGTCAGGTTTGCAAGGTGCTGCATTGCCCCTTCACAAGGCATTTCTATCTCACTGAACAACATGAGAGGACAATGGGACATATTATTATGAACCAAGTCTAAGAAAAGAAGGCTTTGCAAACACCTTTGCTGTTTCTTTCCACATTTCTACCACCCACAGCAACTGCCACTCTCCTTTGCATTACACACTCTCTTAGTGCTACAAAACTCAGCTGGCTGTACTGCTTCTTCTCACTGATTCTTACACTTACATAAAATTCTGTCTGAATCTCAGGCAGATTGCATTGTCTACTCCTACTGTCTGCCTTTTCTGCTAACACCACACATGTCCCCCTCCCCGTGTCAGTCCTCACTTGGTTCGGAGGATCTCCCAAATCCATGTCTCGGGGAAGAAGTCTCTGAGCTCAGACTCCTCCTCTGGCTCTGGGGCCAGAGGCGGTCCAGCTTCAGGTTGTAGTGGCAGAGCTGTTGGTGCAGCAGGTCGTGCTGCTACATCGTCAAAGAAAAAATCTACAGCAGTGAAAAGAGCAATTTCTTGGAGTGCTCACAGAATGACTATTGGTGCCACGATGTGCACAGAGGTTTGCGTTTATATTTGAGCTACAAGCTACTCTGGTACATAGCCCAGTGCTCTATCTAGAAACCAGCTCAGAGCAGCTCATTTTCTTTTGTCCTAGTTATCACACCTAAACTCTACCAAAACGTATAATTATATGACTGTACAGCACCATTCAGCATACATTACCTCCTTCAGGTCGACCTGCATAATATTGAGATCAGATTATGACCTACACATGTGTACACAATGATGGTACTCACCAAAAGGGATATTAAAATTGGGAGGGGGAGGAACAAAAGGCGGTCTTGGCTGGAACATGTTACTGTCCAGAGAGACACCAGCAGCCTGGAGTAGTAGTGTAGCAAGGAGAGAGGGGAATGAGCATATGCCAATCTGTTTGTTGTCTTAAAGCTTCATTAGGTGCACACGCATCATGTGCAAAGAGCGCCCAAACCTTTCCTTGTCAGTCTAATTTGTTAAGTAAATGCTCCATTTGCATTAGGCTAGCACAAACTCACGTTGAAGATGTCGGTCACGGCTCTCTTGGCGGGCTCAGAGCAGGCAGCAGGGCAGCAGGCACTGTCAGACTCAGTGGAGCAGGAGCCACCGGCTGGCAGAGACCTGCCTGTCAGACGACGCAGGAGACCACACACCTGTGGGCATAGAAAGGGAATAGGTAAAAGTGATGTAGGGTCTTTGTGAGGAAAAGATCCATCCATGAACAAGTGTCAACGTAACCTGATTGCTTTCTTGCACTGGGCCCTACTGTTTTGTTCCACCTGTAATAACCTTATGTACTGACACATTGCCTTAAACTGGGATACACAAAACCCATGACTGCGCACACACATAGTAGAGTTCTGCATGCAAAAATCAAGGAAGGCGTAGGCTTTCAGAAGCAAAGCACCCACACTCTATAAATTCTCTACCGGAAGTTAAGTGTGCTGCTCACATTGTTGGTGTCAACAGACTTGCAGGCGTCGGCCAAGAGAGAAAGGCTCTTGTCGATGACTCCCAGCACCACCACAGAGTTGGGGCTGGCAGTAGTCACAACTGACACCTGGTCCCCTGGCTCCGCCTCCCCCGTCCCAAATGACACTCCAACCTGCACAATCAATACATATACACCCGAGTTAAAGATGCACTTACGTATCACAGGCAGGAATCAAATTCCTACCTTCACACTAAGACACACTTTCTCATACAGTCTAGGCGGTCTCTTTCCTCTATTGCACCCTTTTTGCCATACACAAAGGTTGAGAAACCCTGAAGGCAAAGAACACCTGGGAACAAGGCGTATTCCTCCTTAGCCTTAATAATATAGCTCATGTCCCTTCCTTACATTCTACCCCACTCCTTCCTCGCTCGTCCCTGACCTGATTCTCCAGCTGGCAGGTGACAGGTATCTCAATGAGGTCGGCCACCAGCTCTCCGTCTTCTCTGGCCACCACGCCCAGCACCTTCACTCTGGGCACACCGGCATGAGTGACGGGGAGATCCACTGTCATGGCTGTCACTCCGTTCCTACTGTTAGTGGAGAAGGTTGATGTGTGCAGCAGTACGTTGCCTTGGCCTATGACCTGCAGGTTTCAAGGATTCAGCACAGTGTGAGTATCACACACGGCACTTTCCATTGATGCAGAGTTAGCCACTTACCATCATGTGGAGAACACGAAAGCGATTGTTGGCTGTAGCAGTCACTCGAGCATTCGAGTTTGGCTGAAATAAAGAGCAAAGCACATAAAAATGTAGTAACACAAGGCAACAAGATGTCCACAATTCTCAACAACAAGTTTGAGTCCCCCTCGGGTCCTACAAGCTTAACTCACAGTGATCTCTGCACTCGGTGACACGTGGGTGAGTTGAAGGAAGGAGTTAGTGGGAGAGTACATGGGAGATGGAGAGAAGCACACGGCCTGATTGTCACATGATCCCTCCACAACTACTGGTGACATCTGCACAGGGGGAAATACTGTTTGTCTCTTGGAAAGTTTTTCCGGCTAGCTAAAGCAAGTGGGTCTACTGCAGCCACAAGCACACATTGTAGCAGGTTCTTTTTAATGATGACCAATTCTCAAATCACCCGCGTACATTTTTTTATTTCCCTCTAGATTTTTGACAAAGTGTCGTGAAAATTGGCTATACAATATGTGATGCCTTGCAAGAGTGTGCAATGAATGGCTCACGGTGAACTTGAGACAGTTGATGTCATTCCCCAACTTCACAGTCTGCGAGATGGCTCCATTTGCATCAGTTCTGACAGTCTTATCAAGGAGAGTCTTGCGTCCGTTGTTGGCTGTGGCGGTCACTTTCACTCTTTCACTAGCAGCTGGAGATCCATCGGCTTGAGTGGCTTTACCCTGAGTGGCGATACAATGCACGTCAAGCCACTGGGAAAATGTCCATACTTTAAAGTTTCTATCTACATGCTGTACAAGTGACCTCATATGTATCGGTGCATAGATATCCGCAGTTAAATCGGCTGGCCCCGCGAGACTAATAGATCATGGCAAATTCGGCATTACGACCTGCACAACTAGCCTTGTACCCATAGGCTTCCTTCTGCACAGAGGATTCGAGTTCTAATGTGTTTTAACCCCCTTGACAGTATACATTCAAAGGTCACATGTAAACTTTCTGCGAAGGACCTCTGCAGGGTGAAACTCTAATGCATACCCTGACATATATTCAATTGTCACATGTGATAACATGGGGTGTCAACGCAAGGCAATGCAAAGAGCTGCCCTGGTGGGACACGAACATGAGCTTTTGTGCAGAGGAGAGCCTGAGAAAGAGTATAAGGTCACACAATGCACCTTGATGGTGTAGTCGATGCCGGGTCTGAAGATGGTGGGGCTGTCGGTGAAAGAGAGAGAGATGGGGTTGGAGACCAGGGGAATACGGAGCGAGGTGCTCTGAGTGGCGTTCCTCCCTCTCTCAGTCACCTCTGCCACGATAAGGATCGTTGACTTGACACAGAATGGGTCGTAGCGGTAGAGCACTTTGCTCTTGTAGGCATCGTCAGTAAACCGGAAGGTGAACTCTCCATTTTTCTGGATGTGGCAAATAGAGGTTTAGTACTGTGTGGTTGCCTAGGTAACCAGTAAAACCAGTAAAAGACATCTATGCATTGTTTATGCTCAAGTAAACCTTCTTAAAAGAATGTGTACGTCACTGTAAATGTTTTATCCACATGCACCAAAGGTAGCTCCTCGGGGCTAAAGAACAGGCGTATATGTATAACCAAGTGTGTTTTAACACTACTTCCAACTGATGCAGGCGCATACGTAATCACTGTAAACACATGCGCAAAACGATGTATCACAAATCCAGTTATTCTGGGGACAGACTGACCAGTGGTACAGTGGTGTCGTAGAAAGGGATGGATTCCCTCCTACTGGATGAAGTGAGAGTAGCGTTCACCCTCACCGTCCCATCAACACGCTCTCCAAATGTGTACCTGGAGTTAAAAATGAGATACACTATTGCCAATGCCCCACCAAACTTTAGATACAGGCAGTGGATTTGTACGTACATATCTAGCCCGAATGCTCTACTTTTGCACTATAGCTACAAAAATACAGACGTATGTACAAAAAACATAGACTGAGTATACTACGCTCTCCCAACTATTGTGTGACTAATACAAATGATTCCCACCACCATACACGAAGAAAAAAGATACTATGCCTGATGGCAGTGTTGACATACGTGCCAGTCACAGTTCCTTCAATGACATTGTCTGTCCTTTGAATCTGATTGGGTCCAGTCATTTCAACCTCAAACCTGGGGAGAACTGTGGAGCAAAAAATTATATCGTCGTTAAAATTCTTCCTTTGGTAGGCGTTGTTCACAATACGACGCAGGAGCCCAGGTTGCAATCCAATGCAAAGTTGTGCCTTTTCATGGCAATCGTCATGCAACTTATCGCGAGGGACAAGACCCTAAGCAGTGATTAATTTACTGCACTTCACATTGCGTTGCATCAAAATGTTCCAACAAAGTACTATAATTAAAGCACTTGTGTGATAGTGAGTCCATTATATAGCCGTCCCCTCACCAAATTCATCCACCTTGAATCTGCAACTGCCTCTGACTGAGCTGAAGTAGAACTGGCACTGATTATCGCCACGCTCCTGCACAAGTGAACACACGTGCATTATTACACCAATTGTTGTGATAGAGTACAAATGTGGATGCAGACGGTGTTAGCAGGTTAACATGTACATACGTTTAGGTGAAGTTTGCATGCATTCATGTCCTGTGTAACAGCATCAGCAAAAAGCTCGACTAAGTAGGCTCGCTTTATTCCACACACAATGGGTGGCGAAAAACTCACAATGAGGTAATTGGCACCAACGGTCCAAGTGCCGAGGTTGGGCTCATCTGACAGCTGAATGTCCATACATCCCACTCCATCTGTGATATAATTTGTACATAGCATGTATTACTGGACAAAACGTATATACCTCCAGCTGGTATCGTGACAGTTGTCTTCAATATTTGCTTGAACCTTGAATCCTGCACAGTCAAGAAACTATTTCATGTGACGGCTTAAGAATCACTATCAGTGAAAGTGAAATGCTGCCACAACTACACTTACCCTGATGACAACTTGAGCCTGGTGCATCGGCCAAAGTAGAGACAGACGACGAAACATAGAGAAAGTAAGAGAGAGAGTAACAGTGTTTAAAACGGCCAATAAATGCAGGCCGTACTCTGAATACAGTGGAACCCCTCCCCAGGCAATACGGTGGACCCCCCTCCAATTAGGGCACCAACGGGACAGAACAAAGCGTCCATACTATAATCTGCTCTTATATTATCATTGCACACAAGAACACAAGAACTATGTCAGGGGTTGTGGAGCTTCAAATAGCCGAGTCAACTCACGGTGGATTCAGCGCTGTGTGGTCTGAGGGAAGCATCCAGAAACACCACACAGATGTTCACTGAGAGAGAGCAAAGAGAGGAAATGACAAGACATGGGGTGATGAGACAGTGTGGGGGTGGGTGGGTGACATAAATGGCACAGGGAGGATGCGGAGGAAGCCTTTACATGTCACAGCTCTACTAGAGGTCTATTGATAAGGAGAGGGCATAGAAAGCAGAGGGAGGAGAGCAGTGTAGGTAGGCCCTCCCATCTCTTTTGAAGGTGACAAAGGATACAACAGTGAAAGGCTATTTTGTGCGTACATTAACCATGAATTACTAAACTTTGATGTGTCAGTAGTCCAGAGCTAATTTACAGCATAGCTAAATACTTCTCTTGGCTGAATCTTTCAAAAGTAGTATGCCTTAAATGATTGTCCACTCAAATGTGGATTGTAAACCTACCTGTCTGTGCAGGTTTGTAGATTGGCTTGTCAGTTTTGACTAGCATGTGACCGTTGGACTCTCCAAAGAAGCTGACAAACTGGCGATTCAGAAAAGTGTGTCCCTCGCTGGAGCTCATGCTGATGTAGTAGCGATGGCTCTCCAGCTCACCCAGGGAGGGAAGCTGTGGAGGAAAAATGGGGAATTTTGAGCGGAAAAGAAGTGAATATATTTGCAACTGTTTATGGTGAAGGCAGAAAACTAAACAGCGACTCTTACGGCGGCAGCACAGTGTTGTAAATTTGCTGCGGCAAAAGTTCTCATCATTGTTTTTATGTATCTGCTGTATGTATATAGTTTTTAATCTGCAGCACTCGGACATCCTTCGCAGACAACTACATCATAATATGAAAAGCACTAAAGTGCAAACCCTCGGCGAACTGCGCATGTGCGGTACCACTAATTGATGGGCTGGGCTTTGTATGCCTTTACTCGTGGTATCCCGCTAGTAGCTCGCGGAGAGTCTGGCACGGGCTAGCTACAGTAGTAAATAGCATGTGGGAGTCGATACATGCCCTTCGTTGTGACTTGTTGTGCCTTCAAGACACACAGAGCGAACGGACGCGGTCGAGGTAAGCCTGTGCTAATTTACATATTGGCTTGTTCACTTGGTTTTCACGCCATAACTTTAAAACACAGTAGTTTTACGAAAATCGCCTTTTTAAAAATCAACGCAGTGTAGCACTGAACCCGATCATATCGCTATTTACCTGATTTCGTGCGCGCGGTGGCAGAAAACGTGGTAACAGACAGACTGACTGACAGACAGACAGACACACTTATGGGACAACTACCGTAACCCTCGCTGCGCATGCGCGCCGAGGGTTAATAAGTCCTTCAAGCTACACTTATACTTGCTTGTCATTGTACACCCTCAGAGCACTGATCTCTCCGTATGTTTGCCCATAAAACAATAGTACACAAGTGTACATTGAAGGCACTGCGCTGTACATACCTGAACTTTCAAAACGGCTGGCTGTCCATTTGTCTCATCAGTAGCTGTAAGGAACAAGAGGGATATGATCACTGACAGATAGTCACTGCATACGTACAGTGTGGCTCACCTGGATACACGGTCTTGGTGTCATCATCATACACAACCTCCTCAAGACACACCTGACTCCTACAGAAAAAAGGGATGACACACAACTAAAAACTTCACGACACAAAAACCAAACGACACAAAAAGTCTCGATTTCACGAACACAAGCTTAGCTTTTAGTGCTGCTACATACACCGGCTGCAAAAATGCTTATTAATGGGTTGTCTTAATTTTTAGTTGCAAAACTCTGTTCACGAAATGTAACATAACATCCTGATGCGAGTAAAATTTCAGTGTAAGTGAGAAGAAGACGTGCTCATTCTCTAGTAGCCAACTCAGCAATAATTATAACCTAACATGGGGAGAGTCCATTCAAATCCTGTTGCCATGCATGTGTATGTATCACCACTGGTAACAATGCCCACACACAAGTCTGAGTGCAGTATAACCCAAACAAAACTTACCTATAATATAATACTAATTTCCTATACAAGCAGAGATGGCCGAGAGATAGCAAGCAATCATACATTAATCATACATTAATCATACATTAAGGGCCTCAATTGAGAAAAAAGTGTCAGAATTTTGCTGCCTGAGTACAGAAACATTCAAGATATCGTTTTACCTCCCGCAGGTGCAGGCCTCATAGGTGAGTTTGAGAGTAACACTAAACGATTCACTAGCATAGCTGGTCAGCGAGAAACTGGCCTCTGTACCAACAAAGTATCTCTGTGGCTTGAAGAGCATGTGGCTGCAGGGAAGGAAATATGCAAGTTGCATACCATGGTACAAAGAGCATGCAGCGTTCAGATGATGCGCAACATGGCGCACGCATCAGATCCACTCACGGCGGTGCCTGGGCAGTGACGGCGACGAGCAACGCCGCCAGAAGTACGAGAGAGCGCATGTTGCAGCTCCTCCAATTGCAGATGAATTTCTGAAACTGCATTATTCAACGTATTTCAGCAGCATGCAGGTAGTAAATTCGAAGCAACTCACGTCTCTTGCAAACGATGCAGGCCGTGAGAAGCAGGCAGAGTTTTCCAACTTTTCTGTGCAAAAACAGCACCCTGCCGTCAATTTATACTTGCGGGCGCTTTGATCTTTCCGCAGCTCGCTATAGCGGCGCGCGCGCGGATGATGTAGGGCACTAATTAGAAGCAACTTTGTATAGTCCTCGAGACACACCCGGGCAGTAGAGAATGGCCTTTTTCGATGATCCCAAGATATTGATTGGTCACCTGAGACACTCTTTCATAACCAGCGATGACACTGGTAAGCCACGGGCTACGCACACGGCAAGGTGGAGAGCATTTTATTATTATTGGGATTGCAGGGATGTGTGAGTTGATAATGGTGAACGAGGATCTGGACAAAGAGATAAAGAGCGACAACACATTCTCCAAACGCTCTCTCAAAATGGCTCAGAGATTGTAAGTCAAGACCTCTAGAAAACGGGGTTAAAAGGTCAAAATGTGACATGTGTATATACCACTGGCATTAGAATGAATGTAGTAGACCTAATGGGAGAAAGGTAATGTCGTAACGTAGAAAAAGTGTAGCAGTTCCCTGGCCAGATTGCCAATCTCTGGGTGTTTGAAAGTTTGAAAGCTAGTGAGTTTTGAAATGGTGACAGTGTAAGGTTCAAGAATCCAATCACTTTGAAAGGTCAAGGCCGCACCACAGCACTCTTCCTGTCCAGGATATGATGTATATACAGTGTGTATAGTCAGTGGGTGTGCAGGCAGAATAGGTGTAGCTAATGAGCTAAGTGTGATGACTGTGTATGTGGGTGTACTATGTGCCTCGTCAGTCCAATTCAGATCCTTCCTCTATTGCATGTCCAGTGCAGTGTACAGGTAGTGTGACCTTAGGACGGTCATACAGGATAGGGTTTCTGGAGTTTCTGAATCTCTATGAGCAGTGTATTGGGGGTGTACAGGTTTATGTATGCGGTACATTCGTACATGTGAATAGCACCCCTCCTCCATTCTCCTTCCTCTCTCTCTCTCTTTGTTACTTTCTCTGTCGTCTCTTCCCTCCCTTCTTCCCCATCTCCAATACCATCTCTCCCCCTCTCCCCCCCTAGTAAACAGTTGGACAAGTTCCACCGCCATGCGGCCCAGTCGGTGGATATCCAGGCCAGCCCCACACTCTCCTGCAGACCTCCCATGAAGAACATGGGGAACGCCTTCGAGAAGGTCGACCAGAGAAAGTTAGTGACACAAAATGTTCGTCAGTGCACCCGACGTTTTGCCAAGTCGGAGCAAGCCAACTCAATGTCTAATGTGTCTACAAGGATAAGGGTTTTTGGGTGGTGTGAAATTCTTTTGCAACTTACTATATTATGTATATTACATTTTTACTGCACTGAATCTATGTAGGTCTTCTATCGTGCATAAAAGTATCGTTTGGGTAATCTCTGGGCCGGTAAAACCTCGGTTGTGTGCCTAATGCCCAGTGTAAAGAGTGAGCAGGAAACCTACAGTACTGTACTCCCAGGGATACAGTAGACTAAGTGTTTCAGAGGCTCCAACATGTGTTGGTTCAAAGCATCATGTTGTAGTATACACTACTGTATGAAGTAGAATGGGTGATGAGTCTTCTAAGTGTTTCGTGAGGCTCCAACATGTGTTGGTTCAAAGCACTATTGAATTGTTTCAGAGGCTCCAACATGTGTTGGTTCAAAGCATCATGTTGTAGTATACTACTGTATGAAGTAGAATATCATGTGGAGAAAATGCATTGACAAGACAAAAATGTCGCACTGAAGCATCAAAGGGGTATAGGGCAAAATGTATTGGGTGATGAGGCTTCTAAGTGTTTCGTGAGGCTCCAACATGTGTTGTCTGGTGTGCAGGAGAAGGAAACCTGACGTGAAGACCATCACGTGGGAAGCCGAAGAGGAGTCCAAATGTGAGCTCGTTGACCTTTTAATTTTTGTGCTAAAAATCATATATTGTGTGCGTGCAGGATAGGCATGTAATTTGTACTTGCGCATCCCACACAAATAGATGTGCTGTACAATGCCAATTTCTATCGATGTGTCGCATGTACCTGTGTACATATTTATACTGAACACTCGGGGAATTTTGTGTGTGCGTGTTGTACAAACATTTCTGAAAGGGACACAGGATAGTCTAGTTTTTCTCTTTGTTCTCTCTCCCTTGTCTTTCTGCCTATTTCTGTCCCTGATTCCCTCCCCCGCACTCTCTTCTTCCAGTTGATCGAAGTCTGTTCCAGGTGAAGGAGGTGGTGCCACAGGCCACCAGGAAGGAACAGTCCTCGACACTGGCTCGTCTCCTCAATGAATACGACCAGAGGTCCGCCAACCCTTTCTTTGAGTACAGTCGCTTCAACGGAGATGTGAGCATATGCACTGATTCTACGATCAGTTGGTTGACACAGTTTTTTTTATGGAGGGAAATTTTCATTGGTGCAAAATTTTCACCTATGTACATGATGGGATTATGTGTATGTGAGTGTTATTGACAATTATCCACTGTTTCTCGCTGCTATAATTGTGTAGGTTCAGGTCAGCTCATATGCTCCTTGTTACTAGGTGTAGTACCTACAGGGATGTGTAACTGGCCCACTCAGCAGGATAAGCCTTACAGACCATATACCAGCGCAGCAAGTGCCTGTAGAGTGAAATAAGGAACTGTCTGGTGATTTGCCAGGGAGTGAACTTTAACCTCTGCCTGTGTGTATATAGTGGACAGCTGTGTGGGTGGAAGAGTGTACTACTCCAGCCACATCAGACGATCTATATTATACAGAGTGTCACTATGGATGATCTATAGGCTGTGTCAGCAGTCACCCCACTCTGTGTGTAGATCAAAGCTCACACTGCAGCCTCTGTACACTTATAGACTGAGACTGTTAATAGTATCTCTGTGTACACAGAGAACAGTGCAGTATAGTAGAAACACAGTGATGCAGCAGAGAAAGGAAGTGTATGCCTCAGCATCTCTTAGTCATGCACCAGTGAGAGAATGAGTTTATAGTACTATATGTCTGGAGGGCAAATACAGGTAGCATGCATCTATAATAATGCTTGTTGGTAGTATAATAGAAAATGTTTTACAAAGTCCGCTGGTACGTGAAATTTGCAGACGGGCACCACGTGTAAATGATCCAACAATACCTGAAGAGGTTTTCTGTAGCGCTGTACAGTTCTCTTGGCAGCCGATCTTACCCATAGACAACTCTCGTGTCAAACACATGCAAAATCGTTGGTAAAACACGTGCATGATCGTTGGTAAAAGATCGCCTGATGTGCACACTTGGTGATCAAAGGTGTGTGTACACGTGTCAAAAGCTGACGTGATCGTGTGATTCAGAGTTGGTATTATTATTTATCTCTCTGCCTACTTGAGCACTCAAGCTGGCGTGGTGCCTTGTGACACTAATAACTTCCACCTCCCCCCCTTCTTTCTCTCCCTCCTCTCCTCCTCCATCTTCCTTCCTACAGTATCTCTTGTCTTACTTCCTCTCCACCTCCCTAACACTTCCTTCTTTTTCTCTCTCTTTCTTCTCTCCTTTCTCCCTCTCAATCTCCTCTCTGTGTTCACAGAATCATGGTGATTGGAGTCAGTAACACCTACCGCATATTTCTACCAATGACAAAGGTGATAGTAGTGTGATCGATGTATTCTGCAATTCACTGTTTCCATTGCACAGGAACCTCACCGGCCGATAACAGTCACAATTCTCCGTAAGAATTATTATTATCGTAGATCCAAAAATATATTTTTTATCACTCCACAATTCTCCTATAAAAGTAGTGATAACTAATGAATCAAAGTTTAAGTGTCCGCCTCATTTTGTACACAGCATCAGGTGATTTTACTTACTCCATACTCTAGTAGATATGATTACTTTAGGTAGATCATTGTTAATGTATTTTCAACAGACCATCATTGTTAATGTACAGACAATGCCACAGTGTCTGATCTGATTGGACTCACCTTCTGGAAATACATCGAGGAGAGAAGGGGACCCCCTGTCTTTGTGAGCTCTTATTACCACACGCAAATCCGTGTTTGAAAAGTATTTAGATTTTTCTGTAGGTGCACGTTTTTCTCTGCATTCAATGTGTGTGTTTCTCACTGTACAATTGTGCATAGTCTAGAGGCAGATCAAGGGCGTACTCCATTACTTCTTCCCCTTTAATTACAGCATAAAATTACTCTTGCAGAAAGACGTGAGCAAGTATTCTGTCATGATAGCAGAGGAAGATGCTGACATTGACACTGACCTTCCAGGTGAGCCGTATACTATGCTTAGATGTGCAATTATCCAACAGAATCATGTACGCATAAGGTCCTTCTTTTGTTAGTTGGCCGGTACTTCCCACCACACATGCTCAGTAAAGGTACAAAAAGTTTAGGTCATCCTTACTTTCCACAGTCGATTTGCCACCTTTGCACTGCACCCTCTAGCTATAGTGAAGGTATTCAGGACAGTTGGTTGGCCTGTACTTCCCACCACATGCTCAATAAAAGTACGAAAAGTTTAAGCCACCCTTACTTTCCACAGTCGGATTTGAAACTGACTGCACTGCACCCTCTAGCTATAGTGAAGGTATTCAAGACAGTTGGTTGGCCTGTACTTCCCACCACATGCTCAATAAAAGTACGAAAAGCTTAAGCCACCCTTACTTTCCACAGTCGGATTTGAAACTGACTGCACTGCACCCTCTAGCTATAGTGAAGGTATTCAAGTCAGTTGGTTGGCGGGTAATTCCCACCACATGCTCAATAAAAGTACGAAAAGCTTAAGCCACCCTTACTTTCCACAGTCGGATTTGAAACTGACTGCACTGCACCCTCTAGCTATAGTGAAGGTATTCAAGTCAGTTGGTTGGCGGGTAATTCCCACCACATGCTCAATAAAAGTACGAAAAGTTTAAGCCACCCTTACTTTCCACAGTCGGATTTGAAACTGACTGCACTGCACCCTCTAGCTATAGTGAAGGTATTCAAGTCAGTTGGTTGGCTGGTAATTCCCACCACATGCTCAATAAAAGTACGAAAAGCTTAAGCCACCCTTACTTTCCACAGTCGGATTTGAAACTGACTGCACTGCACCCTCTAGCTATAGTGAAGGTATTCAAGTCAGTTGGTTGGCTGGTAATTCCCACCACATGCTCAATAAAAGTACGAAAGGTTTAAGCCACCCTTACTTTCCACAGTCGGATTTGAAACTGATTTCACTGCACCCTCTAGCTATAGTGAAAGTATTCAAGTCTGTTGGTTGGCCGGTACTTCCCACCACATGCTCAATAAAAGTACGAAAGGTTTAAGCCACCCTTACTTTCCACAGTCGAATTTGAAACTGATTTCACTGCACTGGGTGGTCATTTGCCAAAGACTGCACTGCACCCTTTAGCAATAGTAATGTTTTGAAGGATTGTTTTTTGGCCCATGGTGTATTCCACATGCTAATTAAAAGTACGAAAAATGAAGCCACCCCCTCATAATTGCACTGCACCCTCCACAGTCACAAAAATAGTGTTGTGCATGTGTATATTGCTCAGTTGAACCTATTAACAGTGATTTCTCCTTCTGCTCCATTCAGCTCTGGACAGAGACGACAGGATAGCAAAGTTAAGGTTCAGATATCTCGGCATTGTGGAGGATGTGAGTTTAATGTGCATAACACCGTACTGTGTATCCACTGTGTAAGTTGCCTGGCCCGCATAACTAAATTTTTATGCATATATAATATGTATGAATGTTAGAATTTGAAAATTGTAACCACAAAATGCACAAGTTAAATAGAGGTGGGAGTGGCTGTAGCTTCCGTGCCCAAATTTGTGGTTGGATTCCGAATTTTGAATCTCACTAACATTTTCTGATGTATAATACAGTGCATGCGATAAGGTTTTGGGTTTGTTCTGGCAAAGTGTCAGACCATTGGTTGGCCGGACATCCTACGCAATGCACAGTGGGCGTGGGCATGCCCGGACAAATTGACCGCGCGACTATGCGGACGCCTGGCGGTATTGACAGGAAAACATCGGATGACCGACTGTTAACGCGAGGACTGTATTACACTGTATATACATCTTATCTCTTCTCTCTCTCTCTCTCTCTCTCTCTCTCTCTCTCTCTCTCTCTCTTCTGCTCTTTCCCTTATCGTTACAGACGACACGTAGAATTCTGGACGAAGTGAGGGAGTCTCAGCCCAAGCATGTGGTGGTCAGAGTGTGAGTCCATCGTCTACAGTTATTATTGTACGTCCGTACGTATATACCAAACACTTTTTAAGAGGGAAACATTTAACAAGAACTAAGAAAAATACAGGTACGGCTACGTGTCCACATTTTTTGTGCGAATTTCTCTCGGATTCACTCTCAAAATTTGGGTTTTCGTGCCACTGTGTCAGAATGCATCGAGATCGAGGTCTCCATTGTCTCGTGTTTTTTTGGAACCAGCTTAACGTGGAAGTTTCTCGCTTGAAAGTTTCACTCGTGCTATACTCTATTTTGACTGCAACTCTCTCTCTCTCAATCTAATTAACGCTCACTCCTTCATGTACGTATTACTTGCATTCATCTCAGCCCCAACATGCACATTCACGTTGACCTGAGCCCTGCTAGTGGTATGGCCTTACTGTGTCCCATGTAAACGTATTATAATAATATGCAGATACTATGAGCAGGGAGGGTTCTCCACTCTGGCGGTGGAGACTGTGGATATGGAGATCGGAGAGGTCCTGGCTAAAGTCCTCCGCAAAAGGAGGCTCCAGATGCAAGGTGTGGGCTAATATTATGAGTGTCTGGAGTTTCACATGTACATCTCTTACTCTATTGTGAATGCATTACACGTGTGTTTACATTCTAAAAAATGGACATACGTAGCAACGTGATAAAAATGATTTTAAAACTCTTGCAAGTTATTGCATTAAGGGGTAGTTACTGACCAAATTGTTTCATTACTTGAGACTTTAACAAGAATGTTTGGACCATTTTTAATGCCTCACTTAGGCAAAGGTTAGCACAGGAATCCAAATCATACGTATGTATGCTCTGTGTATTACTCATCCATCGCTGTGTTTCCACACAGGCTATGAGCTGGAGAGGAAGGACAGTCCTGGTGTACCCGTCGACCTCAGCAGCACTCTCAGGGCTCAGGGAACACTCGACTATGTCCTCGTCAAGAATATCACTCGCAAACGTGAGATCTTACACAAAGCCAAATTTTCGGTTGCACACATTACGCATAGAACCCACTTTTGCTCATGAAAAATAATCGTACTATGATGCGGTTCGAAGGGAGAATGAGAAGAAACAGATGGAGGGATTTTACCCCCTGTTTTTTCCCCTGGTGTCTTTTGTGAAAACACTGCATGCTGAATCTTCCTATACACGTTAAAAGTTGTAATAGCACATTATACAGCTCTGAAGCATGTTTTACATGTAACCATAATATTCTGGTGATTCTGTCAGTGACATTCACTTGCTTCCATGCGTCACTAATGATGATTCACACAGGTCACCACGGATCAGGTTCAGCCCAGAGCACGCACCCACCTCGGACGTCGGGCTCCTTCAAGAAGGGAGAAAAAGTCCACAGCAGTGTCAGGGCTGAGCTCACCAGCCACCAGTACAGGGTACGTGTAGTGCCGGGAAAGGTCCAACAGAGAAAAGTATAATATGGTGGGACAAAACTTACCTGCCGCAAAATTCTTATCTCTGTTTTAAGTCATATGTATGTACCTCGTGTTTTACTATGTCTGTATATATGGCACCAATGCTCACACTCACAACGCTAGTTACAATGCCCACTTTTTGCAATATACTAATTTTCGCAGGGCAAATAATAATTCCATGATAAAAGTGCCCGGGGAATATGGTGTTTTAGTCCCCCACAGTGTTTACTGTGTATAATGCCAGTCTGTTTCTTTCTTTACAGTCTTATAGAGTTATTCAACTGCACAAGATGAGATCGAATACTGACATTCTACTTGGTGAGTGATACTGTCATCGTCCACCCTCGTCTCTACGTCTCTACCTGTAGACCTAACCATTATTGTGTATGACATACATATGTATCCACGTGTACAGGTGTGTCTGGGGAGCGACTGGAGGTTGATCCTGTGAGTCAGAACAAATCTGGTTTCTTTGGAAGACCTGCAAAACCAGTGAGTATATTATGTGCAACATTAAGGAAGGAGGAAAACCAGCTTTTGTGTCTGAGTTGCTCAGTGCATAGTGCACTAGTCACGAGTTGAACCTGACAAAAGTTGGTCCAGTCAGCCACTAAAAACAGGGGCGGATCCAGAATATTTGGAGGGGGGGGGATAACTAAGCCTGGCTGATTATGCAAATACGCATGCGTGGACTCAAGAAGGGTGTGGCTAAACTCGCGACCCTCTGCGTAGCCGCACATGGGCTGAGCCCGCATGCCGAGTATAGTGGGAAGGGAGGGGGGAACCCCCCTGGATCCCCCCCCTGAAAAACCATGCATACTTACAGTGTTGTGTACATACACATTCTTTTGCATGCAGACAACGTACAGCATAAAGAGGATCTGTGCATGTGAGGTGCTGGAGGAACGCTCAGGCCAGAAAACGGTGTTCAGGATCGTCCGCAGCAGCAAAGACGGCGGCTTCAAGAACATTGACTTTGAAGCCCCCACTTCTGAAGCCAGTAAAACACACACAACAACAACAGTTACAAAACCCACTGTTTAATAACTCAGAACCCAGGGTTGTACAGGTGTAGACATTTTCCTCTTGTATAATGCCTCTATATCTTTATTCACGAGATCTCTCTTCCTTTTCTCTTGCAGAGGAGATAGTCCAGAAGATGTTGCTGATCTTGGAAGGCCTCAACACTCCAGCCAAGGCTGAATACAGAACAAGAAAAGGATCAAAGAACTGAACAAACTCCATCCCCCCATTGATTCACTGATGCATGAGCACAGCATAGCTAATATACTAGAGTGTTCTTTTTCAGCCCTAATCAGCGCGCACCCAGTCATTTTCTATCACACGCACGGAACTGTGTCTTTCATGTGTAGAATTTCCCCATCGCATTTCTTCCAGTCTCTCGTGTGGAGACGGCGAACCTAGGTCTTCAGCCGCGCCCCCTAGGTAGTTAAAATGGAGCGCGAACGACGGGTGCTAGCTGCCAGTCTCGTTGCAGTGCTGGCGTTGGGGTTATGGTACGTGTGGGGCGAGGGGGCGATGGAAAATAACGAGCCACGGCTCAGCTCGCCGATCAACCAGCAGGAGAGCGAGAGGACCGAGAAACGTGATGAAAAAGGTGCGTGGGTGGACCCTTGACATTACCAGCCCCTTCAATAGCCACTTTGGTGGGCATCTAGGACGTTTTTCGTGCTAACCTACTGTAAAGGCTGTATAATAGCATACTTGTAGGTAAAGCCCACTACACACCCTATCCTAACACATGCAGAGACTAGAGGTGAGGAACCTCAAGATATGACAGGGATGCCAGATGATCAACCACTACCAGAGCTAGGTAAACATAATGAAGAACTGCCTTCGCCATCACCTGTCAGTGCTAATCAGCAACCAGAAAAACCACTGGAACAAACACCATACCTACCAGGTACCACTGAGCAACCAGAAAAACCACTGGAACAAACACCATACCTACCAGGTACCACTGAGCAACTAAAAGAACCGTCAGAACCAACACCACACCTACCAGGTACCACTGAGCAACCACAAGAACAACCAACACCGCACCAGCGAGGTACAGATGAGCCAACAGAAGAACCATCGGAACCAACACCACACCCACCAACAAACCCAACACTGGATACCGGCGAGCAACAAAAAGAACAAACAAGTGACGAAACTGATGAACCACCGACACTAGGTACTGATCAGGAACCAACGAAACACGACAATCCAAAAACAGAATTCCAAGATCCTTACCACAATGTGTGCCCGCCAGATAGTGCCGGGCAAGCATTCAACAGCAATGCGAGCGGTGCGAACTGTCAAACAGTGTGTTGGTAGTAAACGGCCTCAGCTCTCTTGGCGCACGCATGACTTTTTCACTGGCCAAGAGTACCAAGTGGGAGGTTTTGAGCATTGCTTCGTCAGAGGACCGTTACTGTGGGGATCCTCTCATTTGGTACCGGCAAGACATGCTGAGGGAGAAAGGAGTACGGAGCATATTTGTGGACTGGTCCCAGAGTAGCGCAATTGGAGATCTGTTCAAGGTCCATCGTCCAGGCCATGTGGTCATAGTGCCACCCAGTGTGGGTGGCAGAGGTTCAGGGTACAGTCTGAATGCCGCCAGGTGGGCGTCGGCACTACACGACTTTGTAGCTCTGCTTGAGACTGTGAAAACGGTGTCTCCCTGCACACGAATGACTCTCGTTTCAGTCTCCAAGAGCGTCCGTAACGAGCTTGAAGTGGTTGCTCCGAGCGATAAGAACATTAGTCTTCTCGAGACACTTGTAGGGGCATTTGAGCTGACTCTGTCGACGTACCACACTCTCTATCAGATTCCATTCTCTGTTCTAAGGCTCAAAGGCCTCTATGGGCCCTGGACGCACAACGGACTCAGCGCAAACCCCGTGGGTTGTTTTATTGACGACGTTGTTGGTAGCTTACACTTGGCACTGTCGCTGAACTCTAAGTGTGTGGTACTTGATTTCGGCGCTTGTGATGGTGAGTCTAGTCAACACGCACTAGGGATGCTGGGACAAACCCCAACCCATCTTACTTCTCCTGCTAAGGCTAGGGAAATTACTGAGACCTGGAAGAGAGAGTACGAGTCTAGGAAGAGGTCGAGAATAGTCCTGACATCGTATTTCACCGGGCACGGGCTCCGCGCAGCCACTAACAGGTTTCAGAGGCTCCAGAGTTGGCTGAAGGGTATCACAAAGCACGGAGGAGTGGAAGCCGTGGTGCTACACGATGGGCTGGGGGAGGAGTTTATGGAGCGTTGTAGAGAGCGTTACCCTGGCCTTCGTTTTGAGTTAGTGTCCCTTCCGTTTGATTTCGGGAGGAACAGTGGTTGCAGACAGTCTGTTTTAGCACTTGCTAAGTACCTGGAGGGTCGTGCTGACATAGGGAGCGTGGTCGTAATGGATGTTGACCGAAGCATGAAGACGAACTTGTTTCCTACAATGGAGTTCTTGGGAGATTGGCTGTACTCTGACATCGACATGATAGAATTTCGCGACCTCCTCGCAGAGGCGACTAGTGGAGAACATGAAGACTCTGTTGTCCTAGCAAATTCTCTTGTTCTTGGTGGGAGCAGGCACATGGTGCTGGTGGCACTAAACAAAATGGCCGACTGTTTGCAGAGCAGCCAGGGTGCTGCTGCACTGAAATGCCTCATGGATGAGAACTTTGTTCAACGTGCTGTAATGGGGTGGCCCCTATCCATTACTGTATGATTGATGTATTACCAATGAAGCCCATCATGGTAGGTGTTCTTGTTGTTAAAAGCTATAATGTGTTAGTACATTGCGATCTTTGCCAAAAGCAACTTATGTGGGTGATGCCTGCTAATTATGTGCACTGTATAATCAGATGCCTGCTCTATCTAGTATGTGCACTCTATAGTCAGTTGTGATTACAGCCTCTTAAATAGTCTGTTGCCTTATGATATGTTACTGTAGCAGTGTCGTCCTGTACCAAGGTATTGTCTCTACTCTCCTCTAGCACACAGTGGGTATAGTGTACAGGCTTTCACACCCCTACCTCCCCTGCTATAGATCTGCGCTCGTAGAGCATACTTGCCATGATCAAACCTACTTGGTATAATATTATGTTTCCCCAGCACAATGCCTGACTTCCCTATATATAGGAGCAAAGTGAGTGTTGATTAGGGAGTGACTTAGGCCCTCAGCTGTTGGTGTTACTATGTAATTGGCGAGCGGTTAACTAATGTTTCCTTGGTTGCTAGGGTAACATAGACTCTATAGTTTGTGCCACTTCACACCTCTTTCTCCATATATAGTGTGCCATTATGGTGGGAGTGGACTATTATAGCCAGCACAGCAGGCTTGTCCTGGTATAAAATCTGTCACATGCTCACAGCTTGTGTTTCTAGCTATAGCAAGGCTGGACGTCTCCCCCCCATACCCCACAAGCATATCATCCCATGGAGAGCTAACGCCCATACTCTGCCTGTATATATAGACATTGTGTTTAGCTTCAGTTTCCCCACATAGACCTTGAGTTTCGATAAGGGTTGCTCTATAGGGTCAGGAAGGATCATTGGTCAGAAGATGATGATCTCCCTGGCATTAGTTCAAACTCCCAACCCACCTACATATGCAGCACATCACACGCACAATAGTGCAAACTCCTAACCCCCTTGGCTACTACACTGACAGCACTAGCCAGGTCAGCAATGTTCACACGCATTGTTTCATGTCGGAACTCTCTCAATAAGTGTATAAAAAATCCATTCCTATATACGACATTGTACAAACAGAAGACACAAAAATGAACTATAGGAAGACTGCTTGACTGGATTATTGCATTGTCAAGCAGGACTCTTGCTGGTGATTATTATACAGAGCACCTATATAGGAAACAAGTGAGATCAGAACGACGTTTCATATGGACTGGATAGACCGTTCCATATCTTGTATACATCCATTAGATACGGCTCGTAGCCATACTTCTCTGCCTTTTCTGCTCTCCATTCGTTCCACCTTCGAGTGTAACACTCTCTGTGGCGATCGCTTTCGCTCTCCTTCTGTGCATCGCTTGATATTTGGTGAGGCAAGTGGATTAGAAACCCACCAGGCAGTACAATGAACTTGTATCGATCATAGTACAGGTGCTCAATGTGCGAGACCTTGTTGAACCCCCTGCCAACAAACCGCGTGTCAAAGGGGGTGATGTTCCTGTTGCCGACAAGGTATGGTTCATAAAGAGGCTGCCACTGGATTTCGTACGGTTCTTTCGCCTTTCGCCACAAGGCATAGTCTGTTGGCGCATGTCCGCGGATGTAGCCATCTTTGTGGAATTGGAACACTCTGCCTTGCGACTCCATTTCCAGCAGAGCTGCCTTGTCCTCTGGAAAGGTGAAGGTGTCTCGATCTTCCTTTGTCTCAAACGCAGGAATAACCAGCACCGTGTGAGTCAAGTCAAACTCTCTGACTGTTTTTCTGAGATACGAATAGAGTCCAAACGAAGGGATGAAATCCATGTCGTCCATAAACACGGAATTGGTTCCGACATTACTCAGGGCCGTGAGACGAAGCATATTGTTGGGGTAGTAGATCCCCTCTTTGTACACCACGTGGTAGGCAATGTTCTTACGGGAACTGATTATAGGGGAGCTATTGATTGTATTGAGGAGATTAGACACTCCTGTGTCATTGGCAACAACAGCAATACTCATTGGACCGGTCCAGTGTCTGCACATTGGCTCCAGCATAAAGACTAGTCTGTCTAAACTACCGTGTACTGACAGAGTGATGTCATTGGAATCAACTGAGTTTGGGTCAAACCACTGGCCTGCATAGAATGGGTGCGTCCTTCGCTCCTGATTCCCCTCCCTCTTGAAGTCGGTACACGGTGGTGCATAGACAGTTGTCTTCTCACGATAGTCGATGGCGTTTTGATCAAACGTGGGCCCCGTCCGGCAGTCTATCCATTTATCCCTGAGTAGATTACCGTCGTATTCCTGGATTTTAGTTTTGAAATCACTGGCAACAACCAGGCTGTGAACGCACACAGTCTGCTGCTCAAAACACGGCTCAGTAGCAACATGAATTAGTGTATCCTGCTGCTCGGTGCCCCACCCAGGGCTCAGCACGTAGAACAACGTCAGATCCTGCTCGTAGAGAATATGCAGTGCTTTCGAAACACTCTCTACTGTTATACTACCTGACAGACCTTCCCCCCTGAACTGAGGCCAACCTTTTCGCCTAAAACCGGCTAAGTCGATAAGCATCAACTCGTCTCTGAATTGCCCCGGCAGGGAGAGTGCTTCAACAAGGCCAAACACACTTCCTACCTTCTCCATCTCAACAAAGGTTTTCCACACGTGATGTATGTCAACGGACAAGAGTAAATGGGATTGGAGGGATATGACTCTCTCTACAGAGGGAGGCAGAGACTCCATGAGATAAACAAGTGATTCGTAGCCTTTCTGAGATTGTTTTGACGTCCATTTGACGGTGTACAGGTGGAACTCCAGGCCGTAGAGATGCCACGTTCTGAGCAGTGTCCCCATCACGTGTCTGGATGGAGGATCCACCAGGAGATGGAGTCGGATTGGACTCTGTCGAAACAGGAGGATGGACTTTATCAGCAGTGCTGCCCGATTGCAAGACTCCTGCCCACCGATTGATATTGCCACGTCGACAATCTCACAGTTTCTTGCCTCTCCGGCTCTGTGGAAGTGTTTTCTACGACTGAACCTCCACTCTCCCGTATGAGTGGACTCGCTATACCCCGGAGACGAGGGAGTCGCTAAGTAGAGGACCGGAACCACCACCAACAGGCACAATGAACAGAGATAAAACAGGCCCCGCTGTCGGTACATCTCCCGCTGCTGAAGCATAACAAGAGACGACCGAAACGACAAAGACAGCTATAGCCGGTATAGTTTTGCCAGGCTTGTAGCTAGCTAACCTCACAACATAGCTGTCACAAACTGTTGTTTTCTTGTCCAGTGTCTTGTCCACAGATCGGTTCGCCTGTATTTCCGCTGAGTAAGTGGGTGTGGCGTTTAATTTTGCAAGGGGTTGGGGGTTTCCCCGTACGCATGCGCACGTATAATCATACAGCCGGTGCAAAAAATTTTCACTCTAATTGAGAGATAAGTGGATGGGGACAGCAAAATTGAGACGTGATAGAGATGGGTTTGGGGGTTAAGGGAGTTATGCTGCATAGAATCATACAATAATTATACATTCACCACATCAACCTGTATAATTATACCTCCATTATCGGATCAACCCACATCGTGACTGCCGCCGGTCTGGGTGGGTGGACCTGGCATGTACAAACCTCACTATTCTCTGAAACTCGGCTATGCATGTGCTTGGCTCGCACTGAAAATGTGGAGTTTCTGTTCACAGACATTATCCATGGCCACACACACAGAACACACAAATAAGACAATGATGAAGACGACCTAATGAAGTGTCATGATTTAAAACCTGATAAGAGAATGATGGTGCCCAAATACATAATGAATGACCTGATGGATTATAGTGAAGTGTCATATGAGCTGGAGATTCTATTCCATATCTTGTACAAGGTAACAAGGTAGGGCTCATAGCCATACTGCTGCGCCATTTCCATTCTCCAGTCCTCCATTCTTCTAGCGTAGCACTCTCTGTGGCGATCGCTCTCCCTCTGCCTTTTCGCGTCAGTCGACAGCTGGTGGGGCAGATGTAGTATGAACCCACCAGAGAGAGCGTAGAACCGGTAGCGCTGGTAATAGAGTTGCTCCGTGTGGGACACCTTGTTGAAATCTCTGCTGACAAACCGAGTGTCGTGCGGAGTGATATTCCTGCTGGTTACAAGATACGGCTCGTACTGAGGCTGCCACTGAATCTCATACGGCTTGGTTGCCTTTTCCCACCTGCCATAATCAGTGGGCGCATGTCCACGGATATACTCACTCCTGTGGAACTGAAACACCTTGTTCTGCGATACCATACCTATTAGTGTTGATTTGTCTTTCGGGAAAACGAAACTGTTAGGGTTTTCGTAGGTCTCAAAGGCAGGGACGACGAGCACTTGGCGAGACAAGTCAAATGCTCTCACAGTCTTTTTGAGATACGGGTAGAGTCCAAACGACGGAAGGAAATCCATGTCGTTTAGAAACACGTACTCTGTCTGGGCATTCTCCACGGCCACAATACGAAGGGGGTTTATGGGATAGTACATATTGACTCCCTCCTTGTACACCACGTGGTAGGCAATGTTCTCACGGGACCTGATTAAGGGAGAACTGCGAATGAGATCAAGGAGACGAGAAACTTCAAAGTCGTTGGCAAAGACTGCAATGCTCATTGGACCTTCCCAGTGCCTGCACATGGGCTCTAGCATTTTCACAAGTCTGTCAACAGTCACGTGAAGTACTAGCGTCACGTCGTTTGGGTAAGAACGGTTTAACTGTGGATCTAGCCACTGGCCTGCATAGAAAGGGTGCGTCCTTCGCTCCTGATTCCCCTCTCTCTTGAGGTCTGTGCACGGATGTGCAAAGACTGTTGTCTTCTCGCGATAGTCGATGGCATTTTGATCAAACGTGGGTCCCGTCCGGCAGTCTATCCATTTCTCCCTCAAATAATTCCCGTCGTAGTCTTGGACTTTGGTCTTGAAGTCACCGACACCAATTGAGCTGTGTACGCACATTGTCTGTTGAAAGCTACACTGTTCAGTGTTCACAGAAAGCATTCTGTCGTCACTGTAGACACTCCATGCAGGGCTCAATACAGAGAACAAGTCTCTGTCTTGTCGGTACAGAGAGGACAGTATGTTTGACCCACCCTCTAGGTCTAAGTCTGTGACAAGTTGTCTCGTTCTTTTCAAGTCAATTAGAAACACTTCACTTCGAAATTTGTTAGCCTCAGAGTTGTGGACTAGACCAAATGCACTGCCCTGTGCCTCCATATCACTGAATACACTCCACAGCCCGTGTACTTTCAGCGACATAAGTATATCAGACTGTAGTGAAACTATTTTCTCTACAGAGGGGGGTAACAGCTCTAGCAGATGGGGAAGAGAGTTGAAACCACTCTCAGATTGTTTCGACGTCCATTTGACGGTGTACAGGTGGAACTCCAGGCCGTACAGATGCCACGTTCTGAGCAGTGTCCCCATCACGTGTCTGGATGGAGGGTCCACCAGGAGATGGAGTCGGATTGGACTCCGTCGAAACAGGAGGATGGACTTTATCAGCAGTGCTGCCCGACTGCAAGACTCCTGCCCACCGATTGATATTGCCACGTCGACAATCTCACAGTTTCTTGCCTCTCCGGCTCTGTGAGATACGTGCGTTCGACCGATATCTATAGTTCTACCAGTTGTCTTGCCGATGAACGCCTGACTATCGCTCGTCATGGTCGGAGAATTGACGAAGACGAAGACTAGTAACACACAGACTGTACAGCAGTAGAGCAGGCAACGGAGTCGGTACCTATACCACATTTTGAAACTATCCCTGCTGCCACCGTCAGCCTACGAACTTATCAGTAGCATGTTCTATCTCACTTCTGTACACTCAGTGAGACAGAACACCAGTTATAAACACATAGCCCCATCTCTCACAGCAGCCGCCGCTCCTTCTCAGGTTAGGGCGTGGTGTTTTTGGTAATAATCCCGGAAGACGTATGCATGATTCACCGCCGCTTCCGCGCACGTACGTTGCGTAAGTGCGGTAAGGACGCGTGCGCATTTTTGCCGGCGTGGAAATAGAAATCTGGCCCTGGCCTATGGAACGCCGTTTTTCCGCCAGAAGTATAGGCTCTTCTGCCAAAAATTTATTTCTAAAACGATCTTTTACTTGATTTTGTTAAAAAAATAGTTCTCTAAATCCATCTTTTACTCGATTTTCTTGGAAAAATCGTTACTCGAATTTTTCTGGAAAATCGTTCTTTTACTCGATTTCGTCAACGATATTTCTCGTCATCAATCTCGCGAACCACTCTTCAGTGTGTGATGCCTCTATAACAAAAAACAACTCCGCGGACTAGGGATGCACGCGACATTGATTTGGACGGTCTGTGATCTGATTGGTGTCTCGATTTCGTGTGAACAACCCCGCAGGACACGCGTTTGTCTCGATCTCCAATCAGATCGCAGAACGGCCAATCAACGTCATTTGCATCCTTGGTCCGCGGATTTTAGTAGGCAGTGATCGGAAGAGAGAGGTTCGGATACTACGGAAATGACGACACGTCAAACACACGCGCTCGCTATACGCGCGCGCGAGTAAAAGAAACTTTTTCCAAAATCATGCAGAAGAGCCTATACTTTTGGCGTTCGCCCTGGTCTGTCTTCGTCGTTTGGTGGCCTGATCAGTTCTAATATCTAATATAATGTCACCACTGGTGCTGCTGAATCTTCTCTGTTTCCTGGCTAGGGTGCAGTCTCAGCAGACTTTTCCTTACATCGCGTTCATGGACATGAGGTGTTGGCTAACCATTCGTCTGTGGACATCAGTCTGGTGGGAGTGGAGCGAGTAGTACCAGTGTTCTATGTATCACCGACCTAAGCACATGTTGTTCTGGTGCCAATGGTCCTCATCGTGGAGATTGGTATTTCCCTAATGGAACTAGACTGCCATTCGCAGCGCTTGATGTCCGACGTCTATGAGACTCGTATAGCAGAGGGAGTTGAACTACGCCGTTGGAACCCATCCACTACATCACCACCATCTGGAATATATCGCTGTGATATTCCAACTAATGCTGTCCATGATGATACTGACATATCTGTGAGAGACACAGTGTATGTAGGAGTTTACACTGCCAGTGGAGGTATGACAACAGAGCCAAAGCCGGGCACGTCACTAAAGTATGAAATAATAGACACTAGCTACAGTGATTCTCCAACCAGGTCTTCTGCACTAAGTTTAGCTAGATTCACATTCATAGTTCTACCTCATTATTATGACTGGGTCACTCCCAAGTGGGTTTTCAGGGACAGCCCTGAGGTTTTTGGTATAGGGATATTAGCTATAGGTATATACTTGTCTTACTTTCAAGTTTACACCAACTCCAGACGTGGTGTAACATCATAGGTATATGTTCCTATTACGAGTCAGCAGGTATTACGAGTCACCTTCAAGTATCGAAGCGATATTTCGTGCATACAACCGACAATGTAAGAGCGGTTTCACGGGTACACTGACGGCGCTCATAGTTGTCGTTAGACTGATATTTGAAGTGTGCTAATGTTAACCACGACAATATTCCTGAGGCATTTAGCTGTGAAATTTGTTGTTAGTTTTATACTCTTACCCAGTCCCCCTATGAATTTTCAATTTATGCATTCTTGTCATTCTTCAGTAGTAGTGTCAACTGCACTTCATGGCACCTCTGTACTTGTATGATACTTGCGTGGGTGGATCAAAGCTGCGAGGTCTATCGACGCCTTTCTTGTCTGATTGTGTGTAAACCACAGTTATGATAGTGTACAATATTCTATAGAAGATAGAACATACAGGATGAACGTGGTCTGAAGCGTTCACTATAGTCTATGGCAGATAGAACATTCCCAGCTAGAAACGACGACGTACGGGTCTAGTCACGTCAACGCTACTCAGCAACACTGGGTCAACAACTGGAGACGACTGATCCATCCAGAACGAAGAGCCAGAAGATGTGGCGCGCCCGCTAGCACTTTCGGGGTGTTGTGCAAGCAGAGAGGGCGGCGGCGGGCCGGGGCATTCTTGCGCGCTTTCTCGCTTGGGTGCGCGCGGACTAGGTAAAGCCGGTCGGGTTGCCCACATACGGAAGCATCATACAAGCCATTTGTACGATGTCGTAATGCTTGTGGTTTACGTGACGCACTCGTGGCTAGAACACTCGGGCTGCGCCCTCGTGTTCTATTTAACGGAGCCACCGCGCCGACATCGTACAACTATAACATGTTTTTCATTGAATATTCTACTCTGTGTACTGTGTTCCTGGTGATATTTTTTATGAGTGACCCATAATAATATTCAATGACCCATAATGCAAGCATTGACGAGTTGAAAAAATTTGTTTATAGGGGGGACGTATAAATAGGCACCCGCAATAATAAAACTAACTAGACACTCATGATTTTCATTGCAAAATTTGAAATGTCTGCCACTATTCCTCCTAGAATCACTCAAGAAAACATTTAGGTGACTCATGATGTCAACATGTACCTTAAGCATGAATTTCATAGCTGTGTTTTAAACAGGTTCCATTACTATAAATGTGGGGATTTTGCGCAATGGTAACATCCTAACCTGTATCTCTACTGGTGGACCTGCTACCACTGTAACTTGGACCAGAGACTCCACCACTATCACCCAAGGAACTGAGACTGTGTTGGTTGACCCAGTGACTGCACAGTACAATCACACTCTTCATGTAGTGGGGAGTTCTCGAGGTAGCTACACTTGTACTGTGTCTAATAATAAGCCATCGTCTGCATCTGCCAGCATCGATATTCGAGGTAAATTCCACTATCATGGGTCGTCGCTGTGTTTTACCATCTTTGCTTGATAACCAGGTACAAGCCTTAACGTTATTCTTGGTCTACCAACGATAGGGGCTACCTGGATCTACCTCCCTTGGGAGATCAGTGAATTGGACGAGAACTTGTACTCAATAGTGTGGGACGGGAACCCATCAGTTAGGTGCCCTGGTGTCGGTGGTGGTAGAGAGGACAGCATACGGAACACCTTGGGGAGCTACAACATTACTGGACTGGAAGAGGACAGTCGGTATATATTTGTTGTGAGAGTGTCAAATATAGAAGGCCAAACTAGCTCTCTTACTGACACAGCTACCACACTGGAAGCTGGTGAGGGAACCGAAGTGAAGAGAAATAACCACTACTTGCATATTGTATATATCATTCTGTAGTTCCAGCTACTTCTCCAGCTGGACTAAATGTGTCCTCTGTGAGTGACATAAGCATCACCGTCTGTTGGGAGGAGCTACCATGTTTCGACCAGAATGGGCACATCACGGGCTACTCTGTACGGCATGGAGAGGTGGGGACTAATATCTCAGCAACTATCAATGTCCCTGATGGCGGTGGAAACCACCAAACAAGCATCTCTGGACTGATACCTTCAACTGAATACTGGATCCAAGTAGCAGCTGTAAACAGTGCTGGTACTGGGGACTATAGCGATTTTATTGTTCAAGAAACTGATGGTGAGCTTAACTACACAAAGATAAGTTTCATACTATTATGTTATATCATTATGTAGGTGTTGACTGTGGTGATCCCCCTGGGCTAATAAATGGAAGGTTTACTGCCTCTTTCATAAACACCACGTATAATTCAACTGTCACCTATGAGTGCATTGAAGGTTTTAACTTGCATGGAGCTGACTCACGAACTTGTTTTGCTAGCGGAAATTGGTCAGGTGAAGACAGCTTTTGCAGTGAGTTATAATGCAATGTGATGTGAACACTAATTGCTTCAGTTACATAGTTACAGAAGCAGCCACAGCAGCCGCTAGTGTGTGTGGTGGCATTACATGTTGGCTCAGTGCTGTTGCTCTGGCGGCTATATTCAGTTCTGTGGTCATTGTGCTCCTGCTGCTGGTGTGTTTAACTGTGACTGGCTGTGTGGTGAGACAGCGAACCAAAAAACCTGCAGCTCTTTCGTGAGTAATAATCTCTATCCTGTGTGTGGGTGTGCACCCGTACAACTTGAAACCGACTTTGTTTCCTTGGTCTTTCCTAGTTAGGTGTAAATACCTGACTACACACTACCACACACTTTAGTATGTCTGTGCAAGAGTCCCATCACCTGTTTTCCTTTATGCAGTCCTTATGCTGAATCTCGTGACGTTGTTTCCATACCACTCCACTACACAGCTCCTAACAGTAAGCAATTACTATAGCTATTGTGTTAATGGTTACAACGTGCTACAGTTGGGAATGTCCCAGATGTGCCACCATCTCAAGTGCAGCTACTGACTGAAGACCTCAGGGCGAAGAACATGCTTTTCCCCAAGAGCCACATCCAGCTGGGCAAAGTAATCGGTCAAGGTTAGAAGCAGCTAGTATCACGTTCTGATCCATGAAATAACCAATAAAACAGGGGAGTCAGGCTTGGTTTATCGTGGATATCTCAAAGATGGTGGTGCAGCCAATACATTGGTAGCTATAAAAACTGGCAAAGGTATAACCATGATCTCTATTTTTATCTTTTGATAGTATATAGTGTCATTGCCTCTTGTCTTGTGTCTAGCTCTATTGGCAGAGGACGACAAAGAGAGACTCCTGAAGGAGGTTTCTCTGATGCTCACCTTCAACCACCCAAATGTGATGCAGCTAATTGGACTCTCGTTTGATGGGGAGACACCCCTACTCATTATGCCGTTCATGCTGAAGGGAAATGTTTTGGAGTATGTGAGGGAACACAGAGAAATCCTCTTCATCACAGACCCCAAAGAGCACAAGCAGGTAAATGCAGCAGTAAATGAAAAGCACTGAAGTGCAAACCCTCGGCGAACTGCGAAAGCGCGATACCGCTAATTGATGGGCTGGGGCCGTAGTATGTGGTCTTCCGATCCGCTAGTAGCTCGCGGAGAGTCTGACACGAGCTAGCTAAAACATGTGGGAGTCGATACACGCCATCTGTTGAGACTTTTTGAGCCTCCAAGGTACGCAGAGCAAACACATCTTGTCGAGGTAAGCCTGTGCCAATTTGCATATTGGCTTGTTCACTTGCTTTTCACGCCATAACTTTCGAACACAGTATTTTTACGAAAATCGCCCAGTTTTACCGGTGTAGTGCCGAACCTATTGGCATAGCTTACTGGCTGTCTCGTTGCACCTGGTGGCAGAAAACGTGGTAACCGACACACACACAGACACAAAATCAAAAATATCATTACCCTGGTTTTACAGGATGAGTGCAAGAGAAAGGAACGTGAAAGACAAATTAGTGATTCCATAGAGATTTAAAACAACTGTGAAGACCATGACCATAAGAAAATAGTGAAACAGAAAAGTTTGTACAGACATACATAAACTTATCTAATGAAATATAAAACTAGTGTGGGCCGACAGAAAGTGTCCACAGGGAGACCCGGAACCAATGTAGAAAGAACAGTTAGGAGCAGGGCATGTACCGTCTGAGTGGGTGTGGAGGGAGAGAAGAAACCTTAGTATAGCTTAAATGCAGGTTGTGCCGAAGACACTCCTCTCCAGAGCCATATCCCATAGCTTCAGCCAGCTCCCATCATTACTGGATGCAACAGCTTGGATATACTGCTGAGAGGGATGTGTAGAGGCATCTGCAAGTAGTAGAGGCATCTACAAGTAGTGGAGACAGGTCGAGTTGGAGAATTTCTTTCTTCAGGGAGTGGTATGAGATTTCGTCAGAAGCTGTTAGTACAAAGGTCGTGTAGTTAGACTTGTAGATGGACACCTTCTGTGTCGCATTCTCTATCTTTAATCTTGCCTTTTATAGGTTGAAGCTTCCAGGAAGACTTGTCTGGGAATGTGCTACCAGATATCTAAAGGAATGTCCTACCTTGCCAACTTCAAGTTTATTCACCGTGACCTGGCCGCCAGAAACTGCATGTACGTACGTAATTAAGGGAGATACATACTTGCAATCTAACGTACTCTTTTAAGAGAACAGTAACTCTGTGTCACAGGATTGATGGGAATGATGTAATCAAGGTCTCAGACTTTGGACTGACAGAGGACATGTACAACTCTGACTACTACCGTCACAGCAGCAGTCAGACTGGGAACAAGGAGAAGATACCAATCAAGTGGATGTCCCCCGAGAGTATTGAGACTAATATATTTGACGAGAAAACTGATGTGGTGAGTCCTGGAGTAGAACACGAAGTCCGTATTATGCAGCAGTAAACCTTACATACATTATACGTAGCTTGTTAATTTCCCCCATAGTGGTCGTTTGGAGTGACATGTTGGGAGGTGTTCACGTGTGGAGGAGTGCCGTATGCTGGGGTCCCAGTCACCATTCTACTGCGTGAGCTCCGCTCTGGATACAGACTCGATAAACCCAGCAACATCTCCTGCTCTGATGACATGTAAGTCCTGATTACACTGTGCAAATACTGACGTTTGCAACATCTGTGCACCTTTCAATGTACTATACATGTGACCTGTCAAGATTTAGACAGGTAAAATATTACAAGTGGAAAAAATAACATCAAACAAAGATATAGGGATGGTATCATGTAGCTTTGTGTGTCTTCGCGTTTTAACAAACCCTTGTTCTTTCCTTTTTGGTGCTTCGAACCATCCCTATGTCCCCCTTCATTTTGAAGGAACGATTTTTCCACTTGTATAACTTGGTCTCTCAA